GAATTAAGGAATCAGACAGCCAATATTAGAAACCGGATCAATTGAAGGAACTGCCGGATAACCGCGGTTAACCGGCGGTATTCCTCACAGTTATACAATCGGTATACCGCCGGTTAACCAGCGGTTTTGACCACATGGGTAGTCATATTGTGTGTGTGTTCACCGTCAATTAGCGCAATCTGTCGTTACTGCTTATTCGTTCATACATGAATCACAAATGATAAGAGATAGAACTTTCGAATTCTTCGTAGGTCATTTTATATATGTAAACGTTTTTACTTTTACTTTTGTTTTTTTCATTTATTTCTCTTTTTCAGAAAATTAAAAATTAAAAATAATTGAATGAAATGATCTTGTTGGCCAATATCATTGTTTTCGATCGACGATTCAAGAATATGAAGATTGCGAAAGAAACTATTTAATATGTAGTTAGACGAAAAGAAATATTTTTTGACGCAGCTCGAGAAATAATTTGTTAAGATGAAGATCATTATGAAATATTGAATTCATATATATTCCTCAAAAAAACAAATACTGTATTGATGAACAAATGGAAAATATAATCGAACAAAATTAGTTTAATCTCTTTTTCGCGGTAGTTTATTGAAAAAAGTGATGCAAAAATCATTCATAGCTGTTTTATTTTCGTATTGATTAGATGTATTTAAGTTATTATGCCAATCATCTTCTCAAATAGTTGGTCTATATTCCAGTCACTGTTTTATGGAGATTTTCTCTTCCGGAGAAGGCGAACATATATTTGTCGAAGCATAGACATGTAGTATGTAGTACAATAACCTTCAACACTGGGAAGACCAACCTGATCTTTGAAGGAGCACCGCCATTACGCTAGATAAAACACTGAATCTCGTCAATGTTTTGTATGTAACCATGGCTTTTTTCATTCTTATATCTATAATCTTACTTGTATAGATTAATTACTTGTCAAATTCTTGTACTAGCTAATAACTAGATTTGGGTAAGATAGTCCCAGTGCCTGTAGGATCCAGACCACAAATGATTGATCATTATGGATTTCGGTTGAATATAATAAGAAATGAACTTATTTAAAAGTAAAAAAATCATAAAATATTTCTTTTCTTTTTTTGTAGATTGCAACTATGTCAAGACATGTTGATGATATTAAAAATATGCTTTTTGATGAACCTGATTTTGATAGTGATAATAATGATGATGAAATTAAAAGTAAAACAGTTCGACGAAAACAAAGAAAAAAATTACAAAAACAATTAGAAGAAAAGAAGAAACCATCGGTTGAAACAATTGCTTTTCGAGATCCTTCAAAGAAAAAAAAAATTTTAAATGTAAGTCAAAAATTTTGATTTTGTTTTTCAATGAATTTTTTTTTCATGTCTATACATAGAAATCTAATACTTCATCTCCTGTATCTCAACAAAACGAAAATGTTGAATTTGATCTTGAAAAAGCTCGTTTTGATGTACATAAATTTGGTATTAAAGGTTTTGAAAAAAGTAAATATGAAGATGCTCGTGTTGCATTAGCAGTTAATTTAGGAGCCAGAGTAATAATTTTGTTTTTTTTATAATTAAATCAAATCTATTGAATACTCTTTTTGTTTTAAAGCCACCAAAACGAAAATTTATTAATTATCGTGAATTAATTGAACAAAATCGAGCAAAAAAAGCTAAAGAAAAAGAAGAAGAAGAAAATGTGAAATTATTTTTTCAATTCTTTCTTTCTTTAGAAAATGTTATGTTTATTTTAGGCTCGTTTACTTGGTGATATATTTCATAAAAGTCCAAATAATAAACAAAAATCAAAACAAAAACGTATTGGTGAAGGCGATGTTGGTTTAATGCGTTTTTCATCTGTTGGAAAATTTCAAGGAGGTGTTTTAAAATTAACTGATAAAGATATTTCAAAAGTTAAAAATAAATCAGGATCTTCTCATAATAGAAAACGATTAGGAAGAAAACGATAATATTATATCTCATGTTATTGTTTTAGATATAGAAAAAAAAAAAGATCTTGTTTATAATGATCATCTGTGGTACGTTAATAAAGCAGGTAAATAATCTAGTCTACTTGAAAATTCCGAGAAGAACATGTTTGTTTTCGTTGAAATTTTCAAGATTATCAAATGCGCTTATAGGCAAAGTTTTATTATTAAAAGGCCATGGACCCGAATTCTTTCCAACTTGTCTTTATCTCATCGACATCTACTCGTACTCATAATATGAAGTCGAACAGCGTTCGACAGTTAGATATGTTCTTTCGTTAGATTCGCACTTTCGTTGATATATATTCGAGGCTCGAACTCAAATAGAAATAAGTTTTAAAAATGAATTCTTTATCAAAACATTGGGAATTTTATAATTTTTATTTCTATTAAAGTGAGTTCAATTTATTAATAACAATAATTTTGTAAAGATAAAAGAATTGATAGTACTAATATAATGCTAATCAAAATAAAATCTGTGTATCTTTTATTTCAATTATTTTTATTTTTATTTTTCTAGTTGTTAAAACAACATTCATATCGTCTTTATTCAAGTCAAGTTATTTCGTCATCATCTCTTAAATCAAATCCGTCAAATATAATCTATAGTTCTCAAAAAGTAGCTGATCTTTTACAAAAACAATCTAATTGTTTACAAATATTTGATAATTATTTAACTGATAATGAAAATAATAATTTTCTAAAAGAAATTGATGGATATATGAAACGTAAACGTTATGAATATTCACATTGGGATAACGTATGTAGGTCTTAGAAGATTTTATTTTTGCTAATAAAAGATAATATCATTTGAATGTATTTTCATAGGCTATTCATGGTTATCGTGAATCAGAAAGATCTGAATGGACACCAGAAAATCAACAAGTTTTATCACATATTCGTCAACTTGCTTTTGATGATCCAACACAAACACTTGTACATGTTCATGTACTCGATATAGCTAAAGATGGATATATTAAACCACATATTGATGCTATTCGAGTATGTTAATCTCTTACTTACAAAAAACAAAAACCAACTAACTATTAATCTTTTCTAGTATTGTGGAACAACTATTGCTGGTTTATCATTGCTTTCATCATGTGTAATGAGATTTGTTCATAAAGATGATAAAACACTTTCCATTGATGTGTTACTCAAACCAAAATCACTTTATATTATCAAGTAATTAATATCAAAATGGATAATAGTTACACATTTTGAAAATAGAAACATACTATAATATAGTTTGTCGAGAAATTTATCATTGAATAAATGAATCAAAAATTCATCTATGTAAATTAGAAATCTACAGAACTCTCTCGTACTTCGCATGTCGCTTTCTTCTTTCGTTCGATGAACACATTTCTTCGGTGTTCTACTCTAATGATTTTGATATAACATAATTATGTTTTGTTTTTGTAAGAACGACATGGCAATAAATTAAACCATATGATACCGATCACAATTTAAACAATTATCAATATACCGGTGACTTTTTTTGTGATTACCGGTAAATACTGCAAGCAAAGTATACGTTATATTGAACGATCTAATAGAGTCCTGTAGGACAAACTTTTTGTATTCCGAATCCTGTTGATCTTCTCGATGCATCGGTTACGCCTAATCATCATTTTGAAATGAGAATATAATAAGTGCACATCTGAGACCTGGTTTTTTTAAAAGCTCGATTGTGTTCGTAAACACCATTGATATTTCAGATGTTGTAGGTGACCATTGGTTCAAATTCATTATGATCTCCTCTACGAAACTCGAAGATTTAGAAATAGCAGATGTTATATAGAATTGCATTTTAATCTTTTTCAAGCTCGTGTAGTCAACTACCTTGTCTACTTTTTATTTAAATATTAAGATATTTGTTAGAAATAAAAAACTTTAAGTGTACGATAAAGATTCTAAAAAATTCGACATTATTCGGGCCTACATGGGTTTAAGCCACATGAGAGTGCTCATCCATAAATATTGTATAGAATATAGCTACTTTGAAAAATTCAAAACTTGAAAGATATTATGTAGGAGAAATTTTGAATTTTTTTTATAGAAACTAATCGAGTTTCCTTTTCTGATTTGCAGATCTCTTACTTTTAAACACAAAATATTTATTTACAAATATAATTTGATTGATAATCAAATATTATTACTCTATTTTAGAAACATCATTCGATTTGACTTTACACATGAAATTCTCAAAGATCAAGAATCTTATTTTAATAATATCCATATACCACGAAATCGCCGTCTATCAATTATTTGTAGAAATATGCCAGTTGATCTATCTGCTGGCTAATTTTTTTGCTTTCTTTTTTCTTCGAACAACAGTTTTTGAATATTTTTCTTTTTTCAGATATGAATCCTGATACAGCTCGTCAATTATTTGAATCCGGTGGTATACTTCTTGTACTTGATGCACCGAAAGATATGGAATTTGGTATTGATATGTATTCATGGCAAATTGGTCCAAATTTTCATGGAATTAAAATGATTCCACCTGGTATTCATCATTGTTATTATAGTGAACGTGATTTATTAACAAAAGAATTATCTAATCGACAAAGTTTTTTTATTGAAATTAAACAACCTAATCAAATGTTAATTTTAATTCGATGGTCGTCAACAGAAAATCTTTTTCAACGTCAACAATTAACATCTGAGGAATATGAAATACGTCGAAATCAACGTTATGAATTTGATCATTTACTTGGTCAATATCCATTAGATACATATCGTCAATGGTTATCATTATCAAATCATTTACGTTATGATTTTATAGAAAAAATTCTTCCATTAAATGGTCATATATGTTCAGCAAATGTATTTAATAGTTGTGAATATAAAAAAAAAAGTCAATGAAGAATATTCAATACCAAAAAATTTATCTGAAGCTGAATCTCGTTTACCTCAAATGACATTAAATCCTCAATTTGCTTTACGTTTTACAATAATTGAAAAAAAAACAAATCTCTATTCCGGTTCAGATTTAACACAATCAAAATTAGATCGTACAAATGAATTAGAAAAAATTTTTAATGATCGTTTTGATTCAAATATTTATGGAATTTTATGTGAATTACAATTAAGTTTTATTATATTTTTTCTTGGACATTTATATGATGGTTTTGAACAATGGAAATGTTTATTTCAATTAATTTGTTCATGTCAAAAAGCATTTTGTCGTTGGCCTATGTTTTATATTGATTTTTTACAAATGATTTATTTTCAATTAAAATATTTTTCAAATGATTCTATAAGTGGTGAACATTTATTTGTTAATATTGATCAACAAGAAAATTCTATTTATAAATCATTAGAAAATTTATTTGCTAATATATCAGCATTTAATGATAATCAACAAATGGAAGGTAATGATTTCGAAAAATTAATTGAACGTTGTGAAAAAATGAAACAATTTTTAAATGAAACATATAAATGGACATTTGATGATGAACCAGAAGATGAAAAACCAATTATTGTTGAACTTGATAATCAATAAAGATTTACGTTTATTTTCTTTCTTTTTTTTTCAGATAATGTTTACATTTATTATTGGATTTATTCTTGTGTGTATGTCGTTCGACTATATTTTTATGTGTGTATGCGTTGATTGTGATATGTCGTTCTTTCATCTTTGCAGTAATTCTTCTTTATGCTTCAAAAAAATTCTACTGGTCAGGAACTCGATGTCCATCAAAAGATCGGATGGATGATAAAATTGTTGTTATTACTGGAAGTAATACAGGAATTGGAAAATCTACAGCTATTGAATTAGCTAAACGAGGTTGTCATTGAATTATTATTTCTTAAAATAAAATTTTCATTGGTTGTTTTTTGTCTAATTTAGGTGCACGTATTATTCTAGCTTGTCGTAATCAACAACGAGCTGAAGAAGCAAAACAAGAGATACAAATTAAATCTAATAACAATCAAATTGAAATTGAAATTCTTGATACATCTTCATTACAATCTGTACGTGAATGCGCTATACGTTTACGAAAACGTTTACCGAGAATTGATGTTTTAATTAATAATGCTGGTAGACTATTCAAATTATTTCCTTTTTTTCGTTAAGCATTGAGTATTTAGGTGTTCATACACGATCGAACGAGAAATCAATCGATGGTTTTGAAATACATTTTGCTACTAATTATCTTGGTCATTTTCTTCTAACTAATCTTCTTCTCGATCTATTAAAAAAAGCACCATCAGCTCGAATTATAAATGTTGCATCTATAGCACATATATGTAAATATTATTTGTTTCATAGATTTCAATATTAGTTTGAATGCTTTCAAGTTTTCAATTGTCAGATATATTGGGATGATATTAATTTAGAAAAAACATCTTATAAAGCATTCTATGCATATGCACGTAGTAAACTTGCTAATATTATGTTTACAAATGAATTAGCTAAACGATTAAGAGGTAACACATGATTTTATTAATATGGAAAAAAAACAAGATGAAAATTTAATATTATTATTATTATTATAGGAACAAATATTACTGCTAATAGTCTTCATCCAGGTGAGCATTTATTTTTTGTATATGAACAAAATCATTTGTTCAGAGAAGTTATTAGTAAAAAACAACTAGTATTAGCGACATAATGGAGTACGAAAAAATGCTTTTATAACCGAATGAGAAGTTCAATACCAATTTCAAATAGTACAATTTCTTCTTTAAAATGTCTAAATGAGAATAAGACAAATATTTGTTTCGAGAATTGATAAGATTTCTAGAAAATCAGATATTTTGAAACATATTTATCATATGCGGTAGAATCTGAAGAAAGTATCGATTTACATGTTTGATCAAGTGCTTTGTTTCACATGAACTATCAATTCGTTCAAATTCATTTTTTGTCATAGATATGCATCCCAAAGAACGCCAATATCTCTATTGAATTATTATTTTCAAGATAAAATCATTGGTTTTTTTAAAATCAAAATTGCATTGATTATTCAAAAGTATAATAATTTCAAGAAGACAAAGTCAATAGGGAAATTTCATTATCAGAATCAAATGATATAGAACTCATAAGAGTTAATCTTTTGCTTTAATGTGATATAAGTATGGGAATAAAAAATACAAATATAATTATTCAATAGTCAGTCTATTTTTGACTCTCAAAGACACAACAAAAAAAAGTTGTTTTTTAAAGATTAGAAAGACTTCATCTGGCTATAAGAAAAAAATTGTTTGAACCAGATCTAATAAAGAATCAATGAAATATCAAATAGAAATATAACTGTATTTTTTTTTATTCATAATATATTATTATAGCAGGTAAAGTCATCTTATTAATTTAGGTATGGTACGCACAGAAATGTCTCGTTATGCTGGTGGTCCTTATGAAAAAATTCTTTATATAATTGAACAATTGATGACACCTATTGCATGGGTTTTTATTAAAAGTTCTGAAGAAGGTGCACAAACAACAATCTATTTAGCAAGTGATATTCATCTTGATAATATTAGTGGAAAATATTTTAGGTTGTTATTTTTTTTTCTGTATTCATTTTCAAAGAATATTATTTCATTTTCATATATAGTGATTGTGTTGAAATTCAACCATCAAAAATGACACTTAATGAAGAAGATAATCGACGTTTATGGTTACTTAGTGAAAAAATGACAAAACTTGATGATTCTTTAAAAAATTATTAAAAGAAAAGAAATATTTTTATAATTTTTTTTTCGAATACATTTGATCATGATTTTTCTTTCTGTTATATTGTGTCTTTCATTATTTTCAAATATTATCTATACAACTGTACCATTTATTCTAAATCCTGATTGTGATCTACTTGAATGTGAATATTCTGATTATCCAGCATTATATTATGCAAATCATATTGTTGATGATAATAAAATTCATATAATTTATTTTAATAGGACTTTTTCCACCGGAACTCCTACCATCTTATATCAAATGAAAGATCACATTGACATAAGCATTTTTGGTGGCAGGACCAACTATTTTTCTGATGGATAAATAAAAAGTTTGAACAAAAGAAGTTTTTTACTTCAACTAATACATCATATTATCCTCTAGCACTGCAATAAATATCAAGTTTTTAGCTTTAGTCCTTCCGACTTTGTAATCAAAATAACGTAGGATATCTTGGAGCTGGATTCGAGTATCTCGCAACTGGATTCGTCTGTAGCTTATACTAAACGTTAAAGACGCTATACCAAGATAGATCTCAATGAGTTCTATCGATTCCACTACTTAATTTTTACCCAGGACCCTCCCTCCAGCGAGAAAAACCTGAAATACTGACCAAAAATTAGCAAAAAAAAATAGTTTTCCGTATAACGCACCGCAATTCGTTCATAGGTTAGACCAAACAACAAAATTTTACCCATAGATAGAACTTGACGTGTTCTATCCAAAACTCACCTTACCAATTCGATTCCGTTCACAGATCTCTGTAAAACCAGTCCGACAATATGTCGCATTAGTTTTTATGCGTATTTCGCACCTGGATTCGCCTGTAGGTTATACCAAAACGAGAAAATGGCATACCAAGGTAAAACTCGTCGAGCTCTATCGAATGGACACCTTTTCAGCTCGATTCTATGCTATGATTCCTTCATAATCAGCAAAATCCTTTTCCCCATCAAGGTTTTTACTGTATTTCGCACCTGGATTCACCTGTAGGCTATACCAAAAGACGAAAATGGTATACCGTATATGTCAAACCTGAAACTTGAATTCAATTATTGAAGAAATACTTCAATTATTCAATAATTCAATAATTGAATAGTTGAATAGTTGAACTTCAAATATTCGAAAAATGAATAATTGAATACTTGCAGTTTCAACTATAAAAGTTTCAAGTATTCTACCATTCAACTATTAAAAAGTTAAGTGTTCCCAGTATTCCAACACTGGGGTTTTCATGTTTCAAGTATTAAATTACTTACTTGAATTGAATTATGGAACATATATCAATTATTTGGTACAAGAAGGTTGGGAAAAGTTTGGAAGACCTTTTAAGAAATCAAATTTTACGAGAAGGACTTTAACGAGGCAAAATCTAGCACAGACTACTAAGGAAAAAAATCGGCCGAGTGCTGGGAAACCCAAACTGCAGCGCAGTCTATTAATCGCTTCGTGCTGTGTTATAAGTTACATACATGTAAAACTTGAAACCTGAATTCAACTAAATATTCAAGTTCCAATTGAGTTTTCAACTTTCAACTTTCAAGTTCTCATGGGTTCCGAGAGGAAGGATTCACAGACAAACTTACGCATACATCATTGCAGCTGCTGTAGCTACCGCGAAAGGAGCTTCGAGAAAAAGGAGGGTGTGGATGTGGCTATTCGTGAAGAGACAATGAACACCCACACCCGCCCCACTATGACGCTTTTTAGTGGTTTACTTATTAATATAGGAAGTATTCTTAGTTTTCTTCGATGGCTTCAATGGATAAGTGTTTTTCGTTATGCATCAAATGTATTAGCAATTAATGAATTTCGAAATTAAACATTATGTTAACCATATGAAACTGATCAATGTTCAATGAAAGGTGAAGAAATTTTATTACGTCGTCATATATCTTATACAACAAATTAGGATATATGGAAAAATATTTTAGCTTTATTATTAATATCTGGAACATTTTTTATTATTGCCTATATTCAATTGTTACGAATTAAAAAATTCAAATAGTATCATTCAACAACTTTTTTTTTTCAGTTCCTAAATATAATATATATATATGTTTTTCGAGATGTATCATGAAATAATCTTGATCGAAACGAAAACAAAAAAAAAATCTATTACTAATTCATTTACGAAAACTTCAAATAAATAGTTGTCTAATAGTAAAGACTATTTATACAAGATTATTAAAGTTTTATTTAGTAAAACTTCATCTTCCAAATGAAGCGATGGCAATGCAATTAATCATGTTGTATCAGATTTTTCTGATGAGAATTTCTCCAAGTCTCTCGTCAAGTTTTTTAAGAAATCTACGGAAGCAAATCTTACTGAGCATAGTATTTTGTGAGAGCTCTAGACCTTTTTGATGTCTCTATCCATAGTTGCGACTATGATAACTTCGTTCGAATACGCTAGACGATCTGATGTTCTCATTTCAGAATAAGAAGAAAGCAAAACATCTGAAATCTTCGCAGAATTCAATGCTCACTAAGATCTGTTTCTATGTAAAACTTCAAATGGAAATTCGAAAATCATTTTTTCTGATGTTCATGAGAAAAGCCACGGCACTGATTAACAACTCACTGTAAAAATCCAGTATGTCCCTAACAATAAACTAGCAACTCGAACTTTTTTTTCTTACTATATTCATAACTCATTTATAACAACATGATGTGCATAATCTCAATCCAAAGGTAATCCTCCCTCGTTAGTGAAATATTAATAGCTCAACCTTTCGACGTTGCACATATAATTAAATGGATAGTTAGTTAATTTTTTTAGTACACTCAACTATATACGTTTTAATACAGTTTTATTTCACCTTTTAAACAGTGAAAAATTCAAAATCAACTATCTTGTTTCTATCGAAAATAATTCGAAAAATACTCACTCTTGTCTTGAAATAAATAATAGAAAGTTTTCTTGATAAAGCTACTAATATATATTTAATCTACAATCATTTATATATATGATACTCTTTCATAACGTCAAGCTTTGTTATTTACAATAATAAAATTCTTTTTGCCTTACGTTTTTGATTTTACAGTTGTCAGAGACTTGAATTCAATTTTGAATGCGATATACCATCAAAACTATACATTTCTAATAAATCCAAATACACTTCAAGATAGTTTAAAAATTCGTCTGAATAACAGAATTCATGTTTGTCTAGTTGTATGAATTTGAAAAAAAAATAATAAAAAAAAAAAAATCATTTTCCAATATAAATATCGTACCATTTTCATATTGAATTATGTTTTAATTCAATAAATTTCATCAGTATTCACGATTAAATTTAATATATAACCATATAAGGAAACAAACAATGTATTCATGACCTCATTTAATAGTTAGGTTTTTTCCAAAGAATTTATGTTTGTTGGACTTCCTACTTCCACGAAAAACGTGTAGATGAATCACTTAAACAGGTGACGCATTCAGTGTCAGCAAGAGAACGCAACATTTTTCTTTTACTTTATATACAAGGTAAAATTCTTCATTCTATTGGATTTTTTAACGAAAAGGTAAATCGAAAAGAGTTGTGCTGTACAAAAAAAAAATTAAGAGAAGAAGATAAACTTTGATTGTTTTTCTCATCCTATTTTTGTATAATATAGATATTTTTAAAGACAAATCATCGTTTCAATTCAACAAGGTATATTTATGATAAATCAAAGTGACATTATTCTTACTTGGCTTGATGCAAACATAGACAATGAACAAAATAAACAAACATACAATACACTACCTGATAAGTTTGGAGATTGTATGGAATTTTCAGATGAATCTTCGTTTAGAAGATTTCTTGGACGTATTTCATATAGTCCAAGAAAACTTATTCTTATTGTTAGTGGACAAATAGGCGAAACTTTAGTACCTGATATACATAGACGTCCAAATATTTTATCAATCTACATTTATTGTTCTCGCAGAGAATATCATGAACAATGGTCTGCAGATTATTCGAAAGTAGGATATTATTTAGAATATTTTTGATTTTCTTATATTAATATTGTTAATACAGGCCACCGTAGTTACTGAAGAAAATGATCTTTTTTCGAAAATTCAATCAGATTATAACTCTTATGAAGATTAATCGAAATATCTTATCCAACGACAAACATGTTCACCAGTCATTTTGTTCAAATACTGATAGATTTTTATGTTTTTAATTAATAAAATTAAGTTCTATGAACATTTAAATATGTCTCACAAAAAAAAATTATTTTCATTATTATAATAATCTTATTTTTTGAAAACATGAGTAGGGTCTATTTGGAAAACAATAGAATAGTCTATACCTCTTTTTTTTTAAGAAGAAATGTTAGGAAATCAAAATATGTTCATCATTAAAAATACCTTAGACGAAATAATAAAGACATTGTATCGAACTTACATTGCTTATTAGTTAACTATTATTTAATTGATTCTATTCGTAAGAGGTATATATATGTATTGTTATCAGACATTCTGAATTCAAACGTCAAAACAATGTGATGAATTCAATGGATTTTTATTGGTAAAAAGTTCTAATCTATGTCATTCGAATAATTTTATCAAAAGACTTATGATAAAGGATAAGACATAATAAAATTATTTAAATTAAGTCACATCATATGAATCAATTCGATATTACTTTTGTTTTTATACTGATTGAAGAAATAAATGAAAAGCAACATCTGTTGAAATTAAAATTTAAGTTAGAGTGGTTTTTTAATAGCAATGAAGAGATTTATGAAACAATCGAAAAAGAACAATAACATACAGACTGATTTATTGTGAATTATTGAGATAATTAATTTGTATTTTCTTGCTTTTTATATTGTATAGAATAATAAACCCTCATTCTAAGATCCATGTTAAACACGAATATTGTTCAAGTATGAATTTAAAACCTCGTTTACAAGAAAGCTGAGTATAAATCTGACGAATTCTAGTCATGATATTTAAAATAAACAAGACTATTCATAGTGAATTCAATTTTCAAAAAGATCAAAATTACTTTCTCTTTATACTTTTCTTCTCTTCAGTAAAAAAAATTGTACTTAATAGTTAATTTCGACATTTACTGATCGTTTTCGGTTGGCAAATTATTTCGAATATTCAACAAATAAGAAAATTTGTTTTCAATTTATTCAATATAAATATGCAGAGTGTCATTTTGCTTTCCATCTGTTTTAATTATCAATTGAACAAAATGAATTTTTATTTTTTTGATTTGATTATTAAGATATATAAGAATTGTGTCGTGCAGATAATTATAAAGACATTGATTACTATTCGGTACAAGATGAATAACAAAGATCTGCAGAGTAAAATTTTATCGTAGTGTTCCTTTAGTAATAAAAATTTTGTTATCCTTTATCCAACTCTGTAGAGTAGGATAATTTTATAGATCACTAACGAAAAATAGGGTGTGAGTATGAGATATGAATAGAAGATGGATATCTACACTCAAATTTGAATCAATTCTCTACCAAAGACTAATATTTTAAATGTCTCATGACTATTCATTCTCAACATTTGAACTACCAACTTAAATAAAATACATCACTAGTTTATGTGAGATTGTCATTTATTAACAAGATTATTCAACAATTAAAATTGTATTCGTTAAAATATGTGATATATTTACTGTGTAATTGGGATACAATAAAAATCTATTTCTAATATCTTCAAAATGTGAATAATAAATGTCTTTTGAGCGTTCTTTTTATTATTTTTCTCAAAAGATAAAATAGTTTTTCTAATTAGAATACTATAATATATTTTTACTTTATAGTGTTTCAAATTATACAAAAGAAAAAATTCATAATGCGAGATTATTATAATTTTCTGACATTAAAATATAGAAGAAGAATTCGAAAAAAATGTTAAGTTGGTTTATATTGAAAGAAGTCTACATGAGATTTTAAAATAACTTTGATACAATCATTCTTTTTTTCATCAAATAATTGATATCCAAGAAGAGTTTCTTTTAACGGTAAAATATGTGTTATAACTTGAGTTAAATCAACTTTTCCGTCTAAAATGTATTGTAATAATGATTTCCAGTATTTTTAAACACAAACAACACCTGCACGAAATGTAATACCTTTATCAAATAATGCACCAATTGGAAAATGATTAGTAAAACCATAATAATTACCAATAACACTAATATTACCAAATTTCTTAGCTAAATAAATAGCTTCAATAATTGCAGATATTGCATCTGTTTCTAATCTTAATAAACGTTCAACTTTATGTAATGTTTCTTTTGCATAACGAAAACCTGTAGTATTAATACATACATCTGGACCATCTTTACAAATTTTTAACATTGTTGGAATAACTAATTGTTCATCATAATTAATGATTTGTGTATCTAATTCACGTGCTTTTTCTAATCGTTTTGGTATATGATCAATAGCAATAATTCTTTTAACACCTCGAAGTTTATCCCACATAATAGCAATAAGTCCTCCAGGGCCACAATCCCATATTGCTATAGTTTGTCCTTGTTTAACTTCACCTAATTTCATAGCATGCCAAGCAGTACATGCTATATCTGACAACAGAACAACTTGTTCGTCAGTGACATTATCAGGAACAGTAAGTAAATTAATATCAGCAAAAGGAACACGTGTAAATTGTGCTTGACCACCTTGTCAACCACCTGTCAAATGAGAATATCCAAAAAAAACCAGCACATCGATGACCAATCAGTGCTTCCATTGCTTTACTTGGATAGTGTTATCACAAGCACTATATTGTTCTTTCTTGCATTATTCACAGTGACCACAAGAAATGACTGCACTTACAATAACACGTTGACCAATTTTTATTTTTTTGACATCGTTTCTAATATCTTCGACAATACCCATCAACTCATGACCTAGAACGTCTCCTAGATGTATACCACTGAATTCTTCATGATATAAATGTGGATCAGAACCACATATTCCAACACTAGTAACTTTAATAATAGTATCTTTGGAATCTGTAATTAATGGTAATGGCATATCTTCAATAGATAATTTTTTCTTGCCTGGCCAAGTAACTACTTTCATAGTAGTGTTAGAATCTCTTTTTGTGTTTGATGTGACTGCAAGAGAAAGATCTTCAATGTTCTTTGTTTCTGGTAATAATGGTCTGAGTATTTTTCCAAATGTTTCTGCCATTAGTCTTGTTATGAGAGTGTGTGGATGTGGGTGAGGTAGTACTCCTGTCATTCACTCACACCCACACCCACCCAACTAGCTTTAGTCTTTTAGATTAGAGAATAAAAGTTAAATTGGAGGCTTGAGCAGCCTAGAAAATCGAAGTTCAAAATCGGGATTTTGGATAAAAACTGATTTTGTCCGAAGTGCCACGGCCAAAATCTTCACTCAAAGAAGCTGCGATTTTTTCTGCAAAGAGATCTAATTGAGATGTCTACACAAGCAAACTTTTAGAACTATACCTACTACTAGTATGGAGGTATGAAGTGCCAACGTTCACGAAAATACGTTTATTGCCTTGTGTAGTGAAGTCTACATTGTAGCAACAATTCATTCATTGAAGCTGAAAATTTTTTTATGTGCAGAACTTACTGATATATAAGTTACTCATGAACCAGAACTTCATCGATTTGTCACTCCTTTAAAATTAATACTGTTCAACATTGACATTGATGGAAGCAATATGAAGCAAATTTCAAACACAGAATATGTTCATTGTAAATAGGATAATGGAAAATAAACTCTGTTGAAAGAAGATTCTAATTGACAAAAAAGCGATCAAAATACTAAAAGTGAATCGAGAGCATATAGGGATGCACCAATTCCAGAAAATTGACCTCAAAGATGCTATTTTTGCGAGATGAAGAACTACCGGTTCCGACCAATTTTTTGTGCTAAACTTGACCGCCTTGAATTGGTCTATCTCTAATGGTTGCCGGATTTCATTAAATACAATCAAACGATGACAGAATTGATCAAAAATTCAGGATTTTTAGCCAACTTCGACCAATTCCGACATCTTTTAAACGTATTTAGTGCAATTCAGTAACCATTAGAGATAGAGCGATTCAAGGCGGTCAAGCTTAACACAAAAAATTGGTCTGAATCGGCAGTTCTTCATATCGCAAAAATAGCATCTTTGCGGTCAATTTTCTGGAATTGATGCATCCCTAAGAGCATATAAGTAGGACTGTTGTTTATGGTTTTGCTAGTGAATAACGTACTAGTCCTCGATATAAATGTAAACTCTATAAGACAGGCACCATCGTAAGGTGGGCGATTTGAAGAAGTCCCATTGGTGCCCATCTAAGAGATATTTTAGTGTATATTTTCTTTAAATAAACTATCAAAAGAACTTTCCACTTTTCTACTCAATAACATATCTTGATAGATAGATTAACTAATAAATTTCTCCAGTAACATAATTAAAATTTTCCAGAAAACAATAAAATATATGTATGAAGAACAATATTGACATTTCATTATTGAATGTAAACTTCTTACAATTCACAATATTACAGAAACACAAGCAAGAAAAACAACTAGTTTACTATAACATTTCTCTTTAACACACATCTATTACACATAACTAAAAAACGGAAAATCAAAGCCATAGACGAAATCTTGATACGTCGACATTCACTCGGCTATCTGGAAAACGAGCTTGAACCATTAAACGATAAGGTTCTACTTTTTTGTAATGAATTTTACCATAAATATCGAGAAAAGTAAAATCTCTTAATTTGTCGATTAATTGACAAAGATCTTGTTCAAAAATGATCACATGTTGAGCTAAAAGAAAAAAGCATTATATTATTAATTTAATTTCTCGTATAAAATTCTTGTATTTATATGTATATACCAATCGATTCAGGTGCTTCTAAAGAATTTAGCCATTGTAGAAGTAAAAGATCATCGTAGTATCTTTTATAATCTGGTCGAACTAAAAATAAAGAAACACAAAATTATCTTTAATTGAATCTCCCTAGTATATACAGTACTCTTCAGAAGTTCCTGGACATGTCAAAATCCAGGTAAAGTTAAGCTATTCTTCACGAAATTTTTATCAGAGATAGAGCTCGATTGACTGAGATAGGATAAAGTTTAGTTTGAAACATCGCTTTTCACTTTCGTGACTTCGATCTCAACATTGAAAGAATTTTATCAGCTTCTTCCACTTATTAATTCAAACTGGGCTATTTTTCGTATTTTTCTATGCAATTCTCATATAAACTAAATTAAAAGTTACGTCAAAGATGCAAGAAATACTTCGGTTTGAATTGATAAGTGGAAGAAGTTGATAAAATTCTTTCAATGTTGAGATCAAAGTCACGAAAGTGAAAAGCAATGTTTCAAACCAAACTTTATACTATATCAGTCAATCGAGCTCGGGTTGGTGCTTGCGATCACAGTTTTGCGAGGTCTATCTCTGATAAAAATTTCGTGAAGAATGGCTTAACTTTACCTGGATTTTGACATGTCCAGGGACTTCTGATGGGTACTGTATTTTATGAATATATATTGTTTCTTTTTCTGTCTTTCTATTTTCAAAACAAGAAACACAATACTCGAAATAGATGTATGAGATAGGAAGTTGTTTCTTTGTAGTTTTTATAATAAATTTTCTTTATTAACATCTAGAAATAGTGTTGTCAGATTGACAAAAGTATCTAATGAGTCCTTTTAGAACTCTTCGTATCTCTCGATATGAGTTCTTCCAAGAGATTTCTAAAGAATTATGAAGAAATTTTCGATTTTATTTATACTTTGCGAACTTCAAAAGAATTTTATCAATCCATCTTGGCTCACTCTCGATTCTTAGAGTGAATTGATTAGGTTAATATTATATAATTGAGTAAAAAGACTGCTGTAAGCAAGACTTTTATCTCTATCATTTTCTTCTAATTACTGTTTTTCACCAGAAGAATTTCACATTTAATTAATATGTTGAAGTAAAATAATTTTCCTTAATTTTCTATTGTTTTTTTTTTAAACTGAAAATCGATAGAAATAAATTAGAAAAAGATTTCCATAAAATTATTTTGATTCTTTCAATCTCACATGATTGCTCAATTTTCCCGATACAAACTAAAGCTTTCAAAGTATTTGATATTACTTCTCAAATGTTAAGTTTTACTGGAACAAGATCACATATAAATAAACATTATAGAAAAAAAAGAAGATTTTTTCATTCAAATTGAACTGTATATTATAATAAAAATATTTCTTTGATTAATAAATAACAGAATAAAATTGACAAAAGTTAAAGAAATAAAAAATAGAACATTTTGTCATAACTCATTGAGAAAATTTTATTATGATTGTTTTTGTTTATTTAAAGTAAACTTACTAGTTGTCCAAGGAAAATCATCTGGTCGCCAGAGACGTAATGTTTGTAAATGAGGCATATATGTGCTAATAAAAGGTACAAGACGTTTGCCTATATGAATTGTTTCATAACCGTTATGACAACTCGGAAGACAAAATTCAACATATCGTACAGTAGTTAATGAATTTATTCTTAATTCATTAGATGCCTAAATAGAAAACGAAAAATAAATAATCTAAGTAGAAATCCGGAGGACAAAGATTTACGTCACTAAAATCCCATTTGTTCCACTCCGATGTTCTTTAAAATGCATAAATTGGGTTATTCGGGATTGAAGACTGTCCTACAGGTCTTCACTTCTCAAATGGTGCACAAACGAAAATAGCTTATCCCTCTGTGTAACCCATAATCTTTGTCTGAAATATATATGTAAAGGCAAATACTAATGAGAATCATACTTTTCTTTAATACTTCTCGATATATTTACTCATTATTATAATAAGATAGGAATATATGCAAGAACATAGATCTAATTTATAAAAAAAATGAATAATGTCTTACGTGTTGGATAACATCTAAAAGCCATTCGAATCTTTCAATTCTAAGATATTTGAGTTGTACAGTCATTGAAATGAGATGAGCAAGCACTTTTGCACGTATTTCATTTTGATCTATTATCATCATCGAATTGTCTAAAATAAATTTAGATTTTATACAATGTTATGTCGTCTCTTTTTTCTCTCTTTGTTATCATCGAGATAGCAACGTGACGGTATGACCACAGAGCAGAACAAAAGAATAATCTCCCTTCGCATGGAATCGAACCATGCATCTCCTCCTTTCCGGGCAGTCGTATTAATCACTATACTAGAAAGGAGTACTCGTTATTCGTTTGTTCTGTCTTATGTTCGAAGGAGAACACTTCGAACATAACATACAATAATCATAAAAACTCTGGCATATCGAACTGTTGCTCATAACAGTTATTCAAATTCAAGCAAAAATAGTTGACATTGATTGAAGTTCTAACAGAAAGTCTTAAGCTCGAAAGGACTATATATTCTTTATTGATGATGAATTTAATCTTTAAGAGCAAACATTTAGCGATGTTCTCTTTTAAACAGAAAAAGTTTAGATTGAATTTAGTCCGTAGTGGAATTAGAATCGAATTATGAAATATCCAATTTATAGTACAAAAAAAAAGAAACTCATTTCATAATGATCATCAAAGGTGAAATAACTTTATATAAAGTTTGAAACGAGAAAAAAACTGCGACAATGTTTTTTCAAGCTATAAATGATTACCACGAAAAAAAACAAAAATGAATACTAACGATTTTTTCGATCAAAATACGTTCCAAATTGAATTTTTGTAACATTTCGAAAAGGAATATCAATTCTCTTGCTTTGTCTCGTTTTCGATAAAACTTTCAATGACATTAGAAGACCATATTTATCAAAATCGTTGTTATTTGCTAAAAAACAAAAAAAACAAATTTCTATTTACTTTAAATATTATTTAACTACTCTTCTATTAGATTGAGTTCAATATAAGAGAAAGATAAATATCTATGAGGAATATCTAGTGTTCCGATCAAAATTTCTGCTTTCTCTTGTTACCAAAAACAGTCTATTAGAAAATTGTGTTAGTGTATACGTAGTTGCTGTCTCTTTACTCTATTATTTATCAAAAAATCATCCAAATGACAAATTAATTTACTTTCATATACTTTGACATGAGAAACATTAGGAGATAATTCATTAAATTGTTGCAAGAATAAATGCAATGATGGATATGAATAAAAGCATGTGTCGCCAAAACGTAATAACTTGAAAATATACGAATCATTACTAAAAGAAAAAGAAATGTCATGTAACTAAGAAAGTTTTCAAATTTTTTTAAATAACTAATAACTGACATTCGAAATGTATTAGAATAAGAAGAGAAAAGATGCTGACATGACATTATTGAATCATATAAACATTTAACATTTGTCCATTGATGTTCGATAAAAAAAGAATGAATTTTAAATGAATTAATTATTTTTTCTATACCATCATATGATAATTGACATTGTGAAGAAATATAAAAATTGAAATCAATTAAATTAGGTATTCTATCAGGTAAACAATATTGACGAATGAAATTTGCATCAATCAAATATTTCCATATATTTTGACATTTTCTATCGTCTAATTTACAACTTTTAATATGAACTTGAAGTTTTTTAACATAATTTAAATTATTAAGAATCCATTTCAAATAAATAAATTCCAAATCATCATCAATAAAACTTTTTAAACTAAGACACTGTAGTTTTGATACCTAAAGCAATACAACTCATTTTTTTGTCTAATTAAGTAAGAACTATTTTGCAAAAATTGAAAACTAACGATTAATTTCTTACTTTATTGAACCAATTTTCATTTGATTGTTTCAATGCTTCTATGTTTGATTTCCATAATGTATCAATTTGTAATGAACCAATGAATTCCACCGATATTTGTTCGAGATTGGGGATATATTCAATGAGACTTTCAAGAAAACGTGCATAATTAAGTCGAATATGTAAACGACGAAGAGTTATATTACACGATTGAATTAAATTAGAGGAAAGATCAGAATTTGATGATAAACATTGATGCAAAAAACCACAACGAAATTCATTGCTAATATCAAGTCGAAGAGATGTTAATTGACATTGAGTAGAGAATAATCGACAAACAAATTCTTTGATCATGTTCAGTTGATTTTCTATCATTCAAAACAAAAGTGTTTTTTATCATTCAAAGTTTAATTATATAAAATTAAAGTCTCATTCTCTTTTTTTTTAATTGATTAAAATATCAAATATTGGAAAAATATAAAAATAAATTTAAACTGAATGATTATAACCATTAGTTGACTTTTTTGATAAATCCATGATTAGAATATGTTTAAGGTAATTATTACATAGAATTTATAACGAGTCGATACTATTTTTATTTTGCATAGGAAGAAAAACAATAAATTATTCAATTGAATGTTATTATTTATCATATGGTCTCATGATGTGATAAATAAATTTCTAAGCTAACACTTAACTTATTGAATAGAACATATTGAGACATGAGAAAAGCTAGCTTAAATTCTGATCATATTTTCGTGTTCTACAGCTAGGTGACCATTTTACTAGATTCTCATTTATTAATAGTGATTAAAAATAATTGTTACATATAAATTTCAATGTGAATATTTTCTCGAAAATTGATCTTCAAGAGTGAGATAATCTTATCTTCTATTATAAAATCTTTCAAATAAATGATTGTTTACCTTTATAGGATACTTTTGACAAACGTTTTCCTAGAAAAAAAAATCGTGCGAATATATCGTCATCAAATGTTAATGTAAGTTCATCTAATTGATATTTAATAAGATAAACTAAACTCTGAATAACTGGTTCAATTGATCCACATCGAGTAAGAATAAGTGATTTAAGATGAGGAAAATGAAGAATATTTTTATTATTAAATAACAATTGATAACAAAGATCAGAAGACATTAAATTTGTTCCATCAAAATGAATACGTTGAATAGAAGAACAAAGAGATGATGAATTTAAAATCAATGGAAATAATATTGAACAACATTTATTATAAGATAAACCATGCACTATAACAAGGCCGTTGTTCAACCGATTGTCATTTATCGAAAGAGTTAAACATATGAGAGAATTGAAGCGAGCATTTAATGACCATAAAGATGTTAACATATTATCCCATGTTAGACAAGAGAAAATATGAAGAAGAATTTCATTAGGTAGTGTTTCGATTTTACTAATCATCTTATCTAAAAAGAAATTTTTCATCATCAATAGGCGTGTTAGATGAGAAACTTGGTCTAGGTTAACTTTTTTTAATATTGACCAAATGTAATACTATCTCGAACTTCACGATTTTTCTTCTGTTTAGCGTTCACTTTTGTCCAAAATATTTTATATTTAGAAAAAATGGTCTCTAACCTTGAATTTAAACTTAGTAAATTTTTCTAGAACGTCTTAAAATTTGAAACTAATTTCAAATCTAAATAACTGAACATCTCTCATAAACAGCATTGGATAAAGAATAAAACTATCAATTAATAAGTCTTTCATCGTTCAAAGTCTGCTATGTCAGTATTCATTTTAAACTTGTCTAGATAACAGAAAAACTCTTTATGCACTTTATCTTGTATATAATGAGATAAAAGTTACAACGTTCATTCTCTAATTAAAATAGAATTTAATACTTCCATAGATCTCTCGATAGAGGCATGGTCAATATATATAAATCTACTATAAAAACTTGATTCTTTACCAAAAAAAACAAAAAAATGAAGCCACATTTTATGGAACAATAGTTATGTCTGTAAAAGAGTGTTTTGTAAAGAGAATCTTCTAGTGAATGTATTATTTGTCATAAAGATCTTTATTTTAGTTTCTATCGAGTGATAGATAATATTCAATGAGTATTTAACAACGTCAACTTATATATTTCAAATCAATATGTATTTGAATATTAGTTTTATATTGATAGAATAAGATAATAGCTTAGAAATTCACTCCTCAGCCTAATGATAATATTAGTTAAGAGACAAAAGCTGAAAGTTTTCTTTTCGGTTATGAATAATATTTTTCTAGTTCGAGCAGGATTATTGTTGATGATAACAATTCGAAATATAAACATGATACAAGCGATAGAAGATTGATTTATTTCTAAAGTATCAATATATAAAACAAAAAACATTATCTGATTACATTTAAGTACATAATCCTTATATCTCAATTAAAAAAACTACATACCGATATTGTGTCATGATAATTTATGTCATCTCAAAGTGCAGTACCTTTGTAATTGTTCAATGATATATGCGAGTAAGAAAAAAAATCCTCTTTTTCTCATACAAGCTAAACGAATTTGACGAAAAAAAAATTCTAATCCGTCAATACACAGACATATTGAACGGATGACCGTCGGATGTAATATAAAAAAATCGCTACTTTTTTTTTTGTCTTGTTCTTATTGACGACGGGATGAGTGATATTTCAATATCGGACGTATACGGGATAGAGAAAAAAAGAGAGTAATCATGAAGGACGAGAGAAAATAAATGCATGTTGAATTTAGGAAAGATAAGGGTTTGCTTAGTTCTTTTGGTTTTATATAATTAAAAATTGAAAAACAAAACAGACAACGGTTTTATGTGTTGATTTAAATGGGCATTTAAAAACAATATTTCGAAAAATATGATTTCGATGAAACACTTCATGTTATTATAAAGTTTTTACAATCACTAATTCTGTTCATTTATAATAAATCAGAAAAACATAAATTTATCTAGTTTTAGTATAATGTTAAATATGATTGGATTTCGAACAATGATTTAAATATTTTTATTATATTTCTTCTAAATAATAAAAGATTAGGTTGCTTATTTTTGTATTTTTTCAAAATTTCGTATCTAGTAATTATTAATTTAACATTTTTTTGCCATTCATCAAAGTAATTTTTCAAGTTGTTCATGAAGATTTCGAACAAAAAAAAAAAAAACTTCATTTTTATTACTATTTCAGTATCTGGCCTTTTAAATATCTTATTAAGCATTGCAAATATGAAACATTGAATAATCACAATTACAATGAAACTTCTCTATTCGTATTCACTTATATTACTTTCTCAAAAATTGTTTACAATAAAACCGAAAGAATTGTTTTGTGCTAAATCATTTGATGGTAGCGAGATTTAAAAAATTTCTTTTAATCAACCAGGAATACGTGAGTAATTGGTCAAATTCCTTGAATTTTTTTCAAGCAATGTTAATATTAAATATTTATTTAACTGATATGTATATTTTTTAAGATCGTGATAAATCGGTTCAGTTGGAGTAACGATTTTTTTCGTTCATTGATAGAGTGTAGTTGATTTTATATTCATATTTCGATTTTTAGTTGCAGTAATTCTAGAGAAATTGTGGAAAAGTTTTTCACTGTTTATTGGAGATAGGAACTTATTATCTTCTGAAATAATTTTTGAATAACAAAACAAAAACACATATTCGAGACAAGAATTTCAATAGTGATCACGTATTATCAACATAAGTTAGTCAAATTATTATAGACTTTGTTATGTGAAAAAAATTAGAAAAAAAAACTAAAAGAAATCTGAATTGATTCTTTTTTCTGTGATAACTACCATGCGCTAGATTTATCAGCCCAATACGTTTCTTATACCTATGAATAGTCGTAGCTTTAATAAGAAAAACCATCGTGACGTTAAGTTTTTGCAATCAATCGTTTGACCTCTCCACACACAATAACTAGGTGTATAGACCATAAGAGCAAACGTATGTTATCACGTATTTACGACACTAGGAGACGATTACCTTCTGCATATGTGTCAAACAACGTAACCACTCAGTCATAGTGCTTTTCTACTTTCTAAAGACTCCAGGTTTTCGAACAACTCGTCATTTTCAATTTGGATTTGAACCTTTGTATACACAGAAAACTCGATTAGAGAAGTATTCATGAGAACAATCCAGAGTTTTGAAGAAAGCCTCGTCGCGATTTGAGTCATTCTAGGTATAAAGATCATTTTTCATAGTTTTATGATTATTTTCTCATAGAAGAAGTGCAACAAGATTTAATCCTCTATCAATCTAAAAGAATATAGTTTTTATAATTAGAATTTTCAGTGACGAAATCGACATATTAAAGACTCGATACCTTTGTCATATCCTAATCTGAAGCGCAATTCTTTTGTGATTTTTATTAGAATTCTATCTAGTAACACTTACAAGACAAAAATATGATTGAACTTTAAATGGGCGATCTAAGAAGGTTCCATCATGAACAATGGACAATATCAACTTTGCTCAGATGAGTTACCATATAATAACATCATTTGGTAACTATCGTTATTGATCTAATGTACCTTTAATAGTTAAACAGAAAACAGAGTCAACAAAAATTTCAAAATTTGAAATATTGCACTATCACGGAAAAAAACGTAGGAAGTTCTCCGAGTTGATTATTTCTTTTAATAAGATATAGATTTTCAATATATATGTATATGTATCTTCATTTCTATCATTATTTTCTGTTGCAAGATAAATATTTTCTAGTTTAGTCATGTCAAAAATAACGGTGTCCCAAAAGTTTCGACCCCTTTCAGTAAATTGACGTTATCAATGACAAACCTATATATAGGTATTGATCAAAATATGTCATTTTGTAGAACCGAATGAGAGCTATCTTTTGAAAAAAAATATTTCAAAATGCATAAAGATATTAAAAAGTTATGGTCATTTTACTAATCTTGAGTACCCTAGTCAACTTTCCCTAATGAAATCCCCAGGGAGTCCCTACAAATTGTAAAATCCCTGGGGAGTCCGTTACGGGACTCCCCGGGAGTTAATCAAAAATTCAGCAAATCTGCTGGAGGGAGATTTTTGGGAGTCCTTGAGAAATCCCTAGGGACTCCTCAACTGATCATTCAGGGAATCCCTAGGGATTCTCAAGGACTCCCAAAAAACTCCCTCCAGCAGATTTGCTGGGTTTTTGATTAACTCTCGGGGAGTCCCGTCACGGACTTTCCAGGGATTTCACAATTTGTAGGAACTCCCTGAGGATTTCATTAGGGAAAGTCGACTAGGGTAAATATTTTCACCTTACATTTTTTTTTAGAAAAATCAAAAAAAATTTTTATACTAAAAACAAATATGAACGAAATTAAGGTAAAAGGCCACCAAAAGCATTTTGAGTGGCGGATGAATATATTGTCGTTGCAAAAAATTTATGCTTGGTCAGCGAACAAAATTGCTTCAGAATTATGGAATTATTATACACCAAATAATATCAGCAAAAGTGGATTCCTTTCGTTTGTTAAAAGAACAATTAAACGTGGTACTATCCAAGATCGTTCTAGATATAAAATTTCTGAAAGTTTCTTGAGCTCGATGTTAAAAAGTTTTCATAATCCTTACTATTTAGTACCAATAAACACCATTTTTGACGGGCTTTCATTTAGCATAAAATTCATTATTATCTCTATTTGAAAATATAGCAGTACCCCCTATCAAAATATTATATCCAACCTAGTACAGTGAATCATCGCAGTCGTCGGAATATTTTGATTTAAAATAGTAACACCTGATTTGAACACTTTGAGTAAAAGTTCGATTGATCTTTCCTTCTCATATTGTACAATATTCTATCATTTGGATCGTTTTTAATATCTGATTGAAATTCTTGTTAATCGATTATTATTGTGTTTCAATCTTAAATATACGATCAACAAGAATATTATCTTCTTTCTGAACGGATTTATGTTCTACTGTTCAGAATATAAATTTATTTCTTTCTTACGATCATAATCGTTTGTATCTAATATCAATAGGTCGTTCAATTAGAAACATCTAAAAACTAGAGGTGATCGAAAAGATTTCTATTTTCTCAATGTGTTTTCCTGTAAATGTCGGGATTGACTTTTAAATTCAGAAATCTTTAAAAACTAGCTAGTTGAATGTCGTATTGTAAATGTTTATTTATGTGTTCGATGCGACCTTTTTTTATCAATACATGAAGTTAAGGCTGGGTGTTGGTGTGGGTGTCTGTTCTTCTTCCTCTCTTGAGCTCACACTGAAACCTACTGAGCCACACATATACGAACGCCCATAAACATACCCACACCCACACCCCACGATCTCCACAGTATGGGTTATCCTGTCTAGCACAGTGCTGAAACAACTTGAACTTCAAGTAAACATTACTTCACCTTTGTAAAAAAATTTCAGAAATCAATCACAATTAAGCTTCAAAAAATCGATGAATGTCGATCGACACTAGAATTACGCAATGTCAGAAAACAATATTTATTATAGAATTTATTAGTTTAAATAAAACTTAAGCAATTGAATAAGGCTTGATTAATAGAATGTTCTATAAGCAAAAAGATTAAACAAATAATTATAAACAGGTGAAAAATCTAATAGTAAGTTTCTCTCTCTATCCAGCCGCCAGGATATTTCCGAATAAGATATTTACGCACTTCATCATAGATTAAAATCAGAAACACATACGGCAATGCCGGAAGCCACCACCGAAATCTATTTTGCAATCGAATTGAAAAAGTATGTTAGAAATCAAATTGGTTCTTACTTCACTGGATAAGTATTGATAGTTGTGTCCAAATAGGGCATGTAGGAAATAATTGTAACTAGGATCATTTTAAATATCAATGCAAAATTTAACATCCAATTACTATTCATTCAAAAATATATACATTTTTTGTGAGATAATTTGATTTTTTACAGTGAACTTACTTCATGCCTTGTTGTACAATGGAATTTCGTCGAGTTTTGCATATGATTAATACAGCCGATTGACAAATAATGATAGCAATGAAGAAAGCTATATGACATGTAACTTCGAGTTGTTTGCGTTGTTCATAGGTCTTTGAAAAAAAAAACAAGTTTTCTTTATATTGCAGAACTGAAAAAATACGAACCCATTCTTGACCGTAGGAATCTTGAAGATCGTTGACATATTTTGATTCCCATGACTTTCTCAGACCAACAAGACGTGATGGTAAAAAACCATTCTCGGCCATGATCACAAAATAGGTAAAGAATCCAGCACCTACTTGAATGAATCCAATTTGACCGTAGGTCATTGATATAAGACTAAAAAGATAGTGTGTGTATATATGTTCACTGTCTGATTGATTATGACTTGTTTTTTACCGTTCGTTCACGAGTCGATTATGTCGTGGAATGCTTGGTCGTCGCTTCATAATATCTGTTTCCGCTTTCTCATATGCTAAGGAAATGGCCGGTATTATATCTGTTACCAGATCGATACACAAAATAATAATAGTCCCTAATGCTAATGGTGTATCTGTTAATAAATATATCATCAATGGAGTGAGTTCAGAAATATTCGATGTCAACATGTAGGCAATTGATTTTTTCAAATTGTCAATAATCAAACGACCTTCTTCGATACCTGTCACAATCGAAGTAAAATTGTCGTCCAACAAAATTATATCTGCTGCGTGTCTACTCAGTTGCGAACCGGTAATACCTGCGTGTAACGATCGATCTATTTGAGATGATGAGAAAGAGAAAAAATACAAACGAACCCATAGTTACTCCGATGTCGGCTTTTCTCAGAGCTGATGAATCGTAGACATCGCCACCTATCACAGTCACAATAGCACCTTGTCGTTGACATTCTAAGTGGGACATTGATCATAATATTTCTCTGTCGATAATGTTTTGCTCACCTTCAACAATAATCAGTTTTTGTTCAGGATCTATTCTTGCAAAAACAATCTCTGTATGATTTCTCAAAACTGTATCGATTTCAGCTGGTAACATTTTTTTGAGATCATTACCATCAATAACACATGCTTTAGCTTTATGTGGATCGACTCGTTCTGGAGGAATTTCCAGTCGTTCAGCAATATCTTCCACTGTTTCTGTATTTTCAGAAATGATACCCACAGCACGTGCAATGACTTTAGCCGTAATCGGATGATCACTAGTCATCATAATTATTTTGATTCCAGCTGAACGACATTTAGCTACACTATAAGACCAAAGCGAGTATAAAGGTCATGGAAAATAAAAATACCGAGAATACTGACGCTTCAGGAACAGCTACTTTCGGCGGATCAATCATCGACATAAGACCGAGAAAACGAAGATTGTCCAGTGGAAAATTGACTTGCTCACCATCGAATTGATAGTCTTTCGGATAATCATGACTTGATAGATGTAAATCACAAAAACCCAATACTGATTCTCCCATACTTGCCAATTCCATATAAGATCGCTGGAATTCACTTCGCCAATCTGTCAATACATTAAACACAATGGTCAATATTCATCTACAGGTAAAATGAACTCACAATTGTTCATTTCAATGTTTGCACCATTGATAAATATACTTGAACATCGTTCAAGAATCTGTTCAGGAGCTCCTTTCATCACTAATAAATAAGGTCGAGAAATGTTGTCAGTTTCAATATCAGTATGCACTTCATGGATCGATGCATGATATCTATTTGTTGAATTAAATGGAATTTCACATACTTTTCGATTGAGCTCACGAACTTTGATCACGTTGCCAATCTAAACAAATCAGAAATGATGAGTGAATAATCGATTCAAGAAAATCTAATGACCAATAGCTCAACATATTTGAGTAGAGCCGATTCAGACGCATCACCATTGCATTTACGTTGTGACACTGGTCGCGTTAAATTTTCCGAATCCTGTATGAAATCAGCTCGATTACACAACATGGCACAACGAGACAGAGCCAACCAGCCAGGTGTACTCTTATCATAGGCGGCATCTTTATCTCTCAAATATCATTTTTTTTTCTTCAGTTCTTACTCAACGAGAAATCACTCACTTTCTTGAGATTCAATCGTATCCACTTCGAAAATCTGGTTATCGAACCATAGATGAGCAACTGTCATTTGATTTTGCGTCAATATGCCAGTTTTATCTGAACAAATGATCGATGTCGAACCGAGAGTTTCTATATTTTCCCAATATTTCACTAAACAATTTTTTTTGGCCATTTTTTGTTCTGCTGCTAATGTTAAGCATATCTAAAGCAGTAATCAGAGAAAATATTCATTTGTAATTCTTTTTCAACAGTCATTGTTTACTGTCATAGTAGCGAGAAGACTTTTCGGTAAATTGGCAACTATAATAACAACGAGAAAATTGACTGCTTCGATGAATGGATAACTGAAACTGAGTGCGATAATGAAGAAGCAAACGCCAAGAAAGACAGCTATACTAGTGATGATACGGATAAAATGAATGATCTCTCTGGCAATCGACGTGTTACGAGTGGATAAATCCAAAGGTAGACAGAGGGTACAAATGCGACCAGCTACGCAACGATTGCCCGTAAGAATGACAAGACCTTTGGCAATACCTAATTAATCCGTAAATATTAGCAAAATATTACACAAGAAATATTAGACTAACCTTGCATCGCAAAGGTGCTGGAAAAAGCCAAATTTTTCGTTTCCAATGGGTTGTCATGGGTACATTCAACCGAACGCGATTGCGGTTCATATTCTCCAGTCACGGAAGAATTGTCGACTTTGAAATCATGTGATTCGAGAATGCGAATATCGGCTATCCATGAAGAAAGGCAAATGAAAGCTCATTTTCTTAAAAGAAACTAACCGGGTATTTGATCACCAGAATTAACTTCGACAATATCACCCACTACTAAATCTTCGATTTTCACATACTTCTTCTCACCATTACGAACAACAAGTGTTTGCTAGATCAAAAAAACAAAATGACCATACAATAGTGTGCAGACTGTATACCTACTTGAATGTGCCTATAACATAAAAATATGCCAATGAAAAGAATTATTTCGGATAAATTTGATGAAATCATCTTACATGGCTTTCAACGAATCCTTAATTCGGAAACTTTTCACTTCTTGATAATATGAAAAGCAACCGATGACAATTACTATAGTAGTCAATGTTATGCCAAGCCATAACTAAAATTTTTCGTAAGATGTACATATGAAAAGAAAATAGTTAATTGTGTGTACATTATCCTTCGGCGCATCTTCGTGATATATTGCACTTGTAATACCGTGTGTAACAAAGCATAGAATAGCACCAATCCAAAGCAGGAGTGCAGAATCGCCAAACATTTGTCTGCGAAATTTCACCCATTCTGATATTTCACTCTGTGATGGTGATAAAACATTAGGACCATCACGATCAAGCAGCCGTCGAGCTTCGACATCTGTTAAACCCTATGGAGTGATAAACATTTCGTATCGAACTGATGATTTGTCACTCACTGTTTTCGGATTAGTATTATAGCGTTGATAAAGATCAATAAGATCCACTTTGTGATCATCCTAAATTTACAAAAAAAAAAAAATCATTTTTCGATTCAATTTTACTTGAGTATATAACTAAAACAGATGTTCTCAAGATGATCAGTAGGAGAAAATAAAATAATATATTATTTGTATAGTAAGAAAAAATTGAATCGATATTTTTTTTTACTTAGAAATTCCAATTCTCATTTATTTCTTTCTTCTCTGATTTCGACTGTCTAATGCCTATCCTACGAGTCTACAGTGTTGTTCCCAATGAGCAAACATTTCGATATGTACAGATATCGGACATTCACGTTCTAAATCATCAAGATCTACCATTGATTTTTGAATGTCCACACGAAGTACACCTATATATTGATGACTTCGAGATTTTCAATTTATCTGAAACACAGAAAACAACTAGAAGAAATTCAAACAAGAATAAACAGAGACATAGGGTTCAGTTCGAAAAATATACCGCTACAAATCATTAATCAATCAATAAAAATAAAGCAAAATTTGTTGTTTATCACAAATCTGTTCTAGTATCAAAATCTTCAAATTACTTTTCAAGGGCAACTGATCCAACAGCAACAAATTATTCAAATATCCAGGTTTTTATTTTGATTCAACATGTGTCTTTCGAATCATGTTAGATATACAATTAATGAAATTAAGAAAATCATACACAATACCTACATATATCCATCGTACTTTTCAAACATTTTTTAATTTAAAAATGAAATATGTGTTAAAAACTACCAACTTTAGAAGAAAAATTTCAGAAATATCTACGAAGAAGAATAAATAAAATTCAAATTTTTCAAAAATGTAATGTTAGCCTATGTTTATTGTACAAAAATACTACGAATGAAATTCAACGATATAATCTCAAAAAATCATTTATCCAGAGATCTTCCTAGTGGTAAACCAAACAAACGAATAGCGTCTTTTATACGAAACGATAATTTAAGCTTTTTTGATAAATTATGCAGCGTCACATGGTCAAAATAAAAAAGCAAAATTATCGTTCTTTTCTTTCTTCTTGTTTCTCTTTCTCTGTCTCTTTTTTTTCCATATCATAACCAGCTATACACCTTAAATGATTCTATAATTATATATACTAGCCTCACTTAGAGGGGAAAAAAGTCATCATCTCCAAACTGTATTATTATTGATCGTACTCGGTTTGTTTATTTCGAATTTCTTCGACGTTCCGGAAACTAATTTGTTATAATGTAAAACTTAGATATTTTCTTGACTGTTAGTCCTTAAAAATAAATTGACTACTGAATAAAACCAAGCGTTATCAAAAAAAAAACAATAAGTACAGATTTATTCGAAAAAAAACCATATCATGAGAGGTTTTGTTTGTAAGTGAAAGCGATGTTTACACTAACAAATACGTGCTTGCGATGATAACACATAAAAAATGAATCTCTTTTTTCGTATGATTACCTATTAAGAATGTCGTTTTTTTTCATGAGTATTACTTTTTTATGCTTGAATGCCCTGTGTCATAAATGGTGAAGCAACGTCAGTTTTAAAGAAGGCAAAAAAATCTTTTCAAATCGTGATGAGAGAGCAAAAAAGGTAGTGATTAACTTTTAAAATTCTTTAACTCTTTTAGCAACTTCTTAGAAGCATTGTTAACACTGGTCTTTTTCAATTTCATAATAAACAGAACTTTTATACCTGTGAAATAGATACTGAAATATTACGTTGTGAATTAGAAAAAAACATCAGCTGTTTCAAACATTTTTTCATTTTATTTTATTACGCCTATTTTCTCTTTGTATAGAGAACGAAACAAATAAAAATATCGTTAATTTTATTTTTTTTTATTATGTATTAAAAAAGAAAAGAAAAGATAAATTTTACATTGTTAGAAGCAGTAACAGAACAACAACTTCTATTTGTCCAATATACAACGCTTATTGTGCTTAATTCTGAGCGATACACACAGTAACTCATGGTTACGCCAGTAATTTGAATAAAATCGAGTACTGAAGGGAACATAGTATGTGCATAGATAAGTTTTTTCTGAGTAAAATGAATATTTTGTCCAAATAAAGGGAATTTTCGATCTTTCTCACCACCATTTTCAACTATGTAACCATTTGGGTGTGGGTGTGAGTGCGTGGCTTTTATTCAATCCACATCCACACCCACACCCAGAATGGGACAAAATGATTCTCTCTTTTAGGATACTTTCCAAGGCATTGAAGATTTCATTTTAGACTCATTCGATAGAAAATTTTTCGCTCTACAAAACTGTCGACTTTGCTTTTCAAATAAGCTTTTACTGTTGACGACATATCGAAATGATTGATGGCCTCTCAACCATCCAACTGCGACTATCATAAAGCAAAACAATTATTAAAAATATTTTTAAATAACAGCTCTGCCGAAATTCGAACTATGCTGCAAGATACTCTGTGAAATTCTGCATCTCACAATATTGCGAACTTTTAGAAAAAACATTTGAAAGAACAATTTTTTAGGCAAAAATTAGAAACAACGCAAAAAAGTCTCGTTTCTGACAGGCTTATGCCATTGTTTATTTTTAATTCAAGACAATCTAAAAAGTTTCGTTGTTTGGTGTATATGTTACACCATTTTGTTCAGAATTAAATTCTGCATTCGATGGTATAATAATATATTGTTCATAGAGTACAGCTGACTTTTGAAAAGCCGAGTTTCGAAAGCACAAGTGTGGGTGTGGATGTGCGAGGGTAAGTGTGTGGATGTGGATGAGTTAGGGTAGGTGTGTGGGTGTGGAGCTTCTCTTCACTCACAATCCACACCTACATCCACATTCAAGCCTCACACCCACACATCACACACCTACACCCCACACTCCACACGCCAAATATATGAAATAATAGAAGCATTACCACGAAGAAGGAATGTATGTAATGTGAAAGGAGTGAAGGTACTGAGTTCAAAGGTCCCGTAAAGATATTCTGCTGCCAGTACATCATAGGGACCTTTGAGTGTGTCAAATTTTTTTTATAGAATGCTATAAAAACTGATCAGCGTATACTCTTCTGACAATTGACATAGTAGACAGGTACCCTGGATCTAGTAGACTCACTATGCGTAGAAAGCAGACTTAATCTAAAGCTACATACTCATAATAAGTTACGTAAGCGTAAAAATTAAAAAATAGTCATATATATAGCTACATGCAAACTTTATCGTGATTGGTCGTAATGATGAATTACACCAGTTACGTCGATTTCTAGTGTCAAATAATTTATATCATCGATATTGAAAAACTAGCATTTAGTGGAGTTGTTTGAAAATGCTTAGGAGTAGTCATATTGTGTGTGTTCACTGTCAATTAGCGCAATCTATCGTTACTGCTTATTCGTTCATACATGAGTCACAAATGATAAGAGATAGGACTTTCGAATTCTTCGTAGGTCATTTTATATATGTAAACATTTTCGTTTTTACTTTTGTTTTATCATTTATTTCTCTTTTTCAGAACATTAACAATTAATTATATTTGAATGAAATGATCTTGTTGGCCAATATCGTTGTTGCCGATCGACACAATTCAAAGAATTTGAAGATTGCGAAAGAAACTATTTAATATGCAGTTAGACAAAAAGATGTATTTATTTTTTGATACAGCTCGAAAAATAATTTGTTAAGATGGAATTCAGTATGAAATATTAGATTTATATGTATTCCCCAAAAAAACAAATACTGTATCGATGAACAAATGGCAAATATAATTGAACAAAATTAGTTTAATGTCTTGGTCGGTTCTTTATTAAATCTTCTCAAACAGTTTAATTTTATAATTTTATGTTGGTCCATGTTCTGGTCAGTGTTTTATGGAGATTTTCTCTTCCGAAGGGAGCGATTTAAAACTCCGAGAAGGCGAACATATATTTTTCGAAGCACAGACACGTAATACGTAGTATAATAACCCTCAACACCAGGAAGGTCAACCTGATCTTTGGAGGAGCGTCGCCATAATGCTAGGATTAATTACTTGTCAAATTCTCATACTAGCTAATGATTCGTAACTAGATTTGGGCAAGATGGTCCCAGTGCCAATGAGACCCGAATCGAAAACGGTTGATCAACTCTATAATTGATCATTATGAATCTCGACTGAATATAATAAGAAATGAACTTATTTAACAGTAAAAAAGTCATAAAATATTTCTTTTCTTTTTTTTGTAGATTGAAACTATGTCAAGACATATTGATGATATAAAAAATATGCTTTTTGATGAACCTGATTTTGATAGTGATAATAATAATGATGAAGTTAAAAGTAAAACAGTTCGACAAAAACAAAGAAAAAAATTACAAAAACAATTAGAAAAAAAGAAGAAACTATAGGGTTGAAACAATTGTTTTTCGAGACCCTTCAAAAAAAAAGATTTTAAATGTAAGTCAAAAACTATGATTTTGTTTTTCAATGAATCTTTTTTTGCATGTCTATACATAGAAATCTAATACTTCATCTACAATATCTCAACAAAAAAAATATTGAATTTGATCTTGAAAAAGGTCGTTTTGATGTACATAAATTAGGTATTAAAGGTTTTGAAAAAAGTAAATATGAAGATGCTCGTGTTGCATTAGCTGTTAGTTTAGGAGCCAAAGTAATAATTTTTTTTTAATAATTAAATCAAATCTATTGAATACTCTTTTTGTTTAAAGCTAACAAACCGCAAATTTATTAATTATCGTGAGTTAATTGAAGAAAAATACAAATGGACATTTGATGATGAACCAGAAGATGAAAAACCAATTATTGTTGAACTTGATAATCAATAAAGATTTATATTTATTTTGTTACTTTTTTTAGATAATGTTTACATTTATTATTGGATTTATTCTTGTGTGTATGTCGTTTGATTATATTTTTGTATGTGTGGACGTTGGTTATGATATGTTGTTCTTTCACTTTTTGCAGTAATTCTTCTTTATGCTTCAAAAAAACTCTATTGGTCAGGAACTCAATGTCCATCAAAAGATCGGATGGATGATAAAATTGTTGTTATTACTGGAAGTAATACAGGAATTGGAAAATCTACAGCTATTGAATTAGCTAAACGAGGTTTTTAATGAATTATTATTTCTTAAAATCAAATTTTCATTGGTTGTTTTTTGTCTAATTTAGGTGCACGTATTATTCTAGCTTGTCGTAATCAACAACGAGCTGAAGAAGCAAAACAAGAGATACAAATTAAATCTAATAATAATCAAATTGAAATTGAAATTCTTGATACATCTTCATTACAATCTGTACGTGAATGTGCTACACGTTTACGAAAACATTTACCGAGAATTGATGTTTTAATTAATAATGCTGGTAGACTATTCATTTGTTTTCTTTTTTTCGTTAAGCATTAAGTATTTAGGTGTTCTTACACAATCGAACGAGAAATCAATCGATGGTTTTGAAATACATTTTGCTACTAATTATCTTGGTCATTTTCTTCTAACTAATCTTCTTCTCGATCTATTAAAAAAAGCACCATCAGCTCGAATTATAAATGTTGCAGCTTTAGCACATCAATGTAAATATTATCTATTCCATAGATTTCAATATTAATTTGCATACTTTCAAGTTTTCAATTGTCAGATACATTGGGATGATATTAATTTAGAAAAAACATCTTATAAAGCATTCTATGCATATGCACGTAGTAAACTTGCTAATATTATGTTTACAAATGAATTAGCTAAACGATTAAAAGGTAACACATGATTTTATTAATACAGAAAAAAAAACAAGATGAAAGTTCAATATTATTATAGGAACAAATATTACTGCTAATAGTCTTCATCCAGGTGAGCATTTATTTTTTGTATATGAACAAAATCATTTGTTTAAAGAAGTTATTTATAAAAAGCCTAGTATTAGTGGCATAATGGAGTACGAAAAAATGCTCTTATAACAGAATGAGAAGTTGAACACCAATTTCAAACAATACAATTCCTTCTTCAGAATTTCTAAATGATGATAAGCCAAATATTTATTTCGAGAATTGATATGATTTCTAGAAAATCAGATGTTTTGAATCATATGTATCATATGCGGCAGAATCTGAAGAAAGTATCGATTTGCATGTTTGATCAAGTGTTTTGTTTCACATTAGTACGTTCTCTGCAGTCTATTTTTGAATCTCAAAGACATAACAAAAAAAAGTTCGTTTTTTGAAGATTAGAAAGAATTCATCTGGCTATGAGAAAAAAATTGTTTGAACCAGATCTAATAAAGAATCAATGAAATACCAAATAAAAATATAACTGTATTTTTTTTTATTCATAATATATTATTATAGTAAGTAAAGTCATCGTATTAATTTAGGTCTTGTACATACAGAATTTATTCGTTATGCTGGTAGTCGTTATGAAAAAATTCTTTATATAATTGAACAATTGATAACACCTATCCTATGGATTTTTATTAAAAGTTCTGAAGAAGGTGCACAAACAACAATCTATTTAGCAAGTGATATACATCTTGACAATGTTAGTGGAAAATATTTTAGGTTGTTGTTTTTTTTCTTCTGTATTCATTTTCAAACTATATTTCATTTTCATATATAGTGATTGTATTGAAATTCAACCATCAAAAATGACACTTAATGAAGAAGATAATCGACGTTTATGGTCACTTAGTGAAAAAATGACAAAACTTGATGATTCTTTAAAAAATTTCTAAAAGAAACAAAATATTTTTATAATTTTTTATTTTTTTTCAGATACATTTCATCATGATGTTTGTTTCTGTTATATTGTGTCTTTCATTATTTTCAAATATTATCTATGCAACTGTACCATTTATTCTAAATCCTGATTGTGATCTACTTGAATGTGAACAGCCTGATTATCCAGCATTATATTATGCAAATCATATTGTTGATGATAATAAAATTCATATAATCTATTCAACATTAGATGAATTAACAATTAGTATATTTCAAACAGGTAAAAATTATATGCCAATATTTAATTATACAGCATTATTTTCACGAAATTATCCTGGTGCTATACAATTTGTTGATACAAAGCCAACTAATTCGTTTTCATTAGTTCTTCGACGTTTAATTAAATTTGATGATATAAATGATGAGGGTAATATGGCTAAAGGTGAAAATATAACATCTTATTTTTTACATAATATAACAACAAATAATGTAACCATTTCGAATAGTACAAATCAACCAACATTTCAATTACCATTACCAATGGTTAAAAATTTTTTAGTTTTATATAAACAAGAAAATGAAATTATTATTATTTTTGTTTTTTAGTTAAATGGTTCATTAAATATTGATGTAATGTATCCTGGTGAAGCAATACGTGAGACAAAATCTCCAAAATTAAGAACAACATCAAAAAGTTATTTTCTAAACATTGCCTTACAAGCCAATAATTTTACATCAGCAAAAACACGTTTTGCTTTTGAATTATATTTAATATTACCCGGTGTTCAAGGTTCACAAAAATATACATCAAGATATATTGATGATCATTTTACACCAGGTAAAAATTCAATTTCAAAAAACAAAAATCAAAATTTCATTTCTCAATATTTGTCATCCATCGACAATAGTCAAGAAAAACAAAAAATTGATGACAATTTTTTCCGATGAATTTCCTTCTCTGAATGTATATTTCAAAATTTTCGAAGAAATATTTAAGAATTATTTTAAAAACAAAATCAAACTTGTATTTCTAATGAAAATATTTTTTTTTTTCTTTATCTAGGTATTTTTAATGTTTACCAAATAAAAACACTTGATTCATTATATTCATCATCTATGTTATGGAAACCGGTTGTATATCAAAGTGAAGATCGATCAGTTGAACAAAGTACATTAATGCAAATATATGATATAAAAAATAATGTTACACTTGATCCAAATATTGATCAAGGTACATTTTATTCACTTCTTTCTCATCCATTTGTATCAGCATTTAATCTTTCTATTGGTCAAGCAAAGGATGGTATGAATAATTCATTTTTATTTTTATTTTTTTGTAATTAAAATAATATAATTTTCTATAGGTTTCTTTGCTAAAACAAATTATACATTTATACAATTTACAGCTGGTCTTGATTATCTTGAACCTGATTCAACAAAAGTATTTGTTACAGTCGCATTGATTGCTAGTCTTGCTTTACCAGCTTTAGTTGCAATTGTTGCATTAATATTTATTTTAAGACGACGATTTTCACGACAAACACAAAGTAGTTATAATGCTATTGACGATTAAATAATAAAAAAAAAACAACAAACATTAATGATGTCGTTATTTTATTTTATTTTATTTTATTTTTTTGTCTTCTTCTTCATTATTATTTCTTATCGTGCAATGTTATTTAAATGATTGTGATTATTTGTGTGAGATTTTTAATATAAAATAAAAATTTGTCATTAATGAGTTTAATTTATATGATCAAAAAAAATTTTTGTTTCAAACAATTGTGATGAATTATTTTTAATTTTTAATAGAAGATTAACTAAAACAAAAAAAAAAACATTTTGCAGCTATCTAAATATTAATTTTATATAAGAATATATAGATAAGAATAAAAAAAAAATGAAATCTAGAGTAGGATAATAATGCGAGAATGTTAGTTTACTGATATGATGTTGATATTTGCTGAGGGTAACAAAGATGTTTAAATTATTGGTCGAAATTATACAGCTAAACTTATTTAAAAGAAATGAAATACCTTGATATGCCAGTGTCTGTAAAATTAATCATATATGATAAATTATGAAAAACATTTAAGCATGAATCCTCCGCATATCTGTCATTTTTTTTTTGATTCATCTATTTTGATATACCCAATAAACAACAAAATTAAGACTTTCAAGAGCAAATTTCTCATATATCAAAACTTATTATTTTTTTTAATCGATTTCAAATGCTAAAGAGATGTTTTCTAAGATAATATTGTCATTAATTTATGTTACTATTTTTCCAGAGAAAAATTTACTTTTATTTATCTGAATGAAACAGAAAACTTCAATATTTAATCATATGTCTCTAGGGATATATATATGCATTTCCTTTCTATTTAAAAACTGATATTTTTCTTCTTTCTAAAGTTATTTCATAATTAGAGATGTACCAATCGGTTATTAAATATATTAATAAATCATTAATGTCAATGCTAGTAGATATAACTTGATTATTTAAGTAGGAAATAAGATTGTATTTTTACTTAGAAAATTATATCTATCAATTAATTTTATCTATAGGGATGACTTGCATGTTATTCTGATATTTTTTTAATTATGATTTATTTTTAATTATGAAAAAACAAAAAGAAGGAAAAATATGCACTGCATTAATATTATGAAACAAAAATATATATATTAGAGATTGTTTGTAGTAGATATTTTGTTTTGTTATAAAAATGTTCGTTTTAATTGACGAAAAAATATTGCACTTTTACAATAAGTACGTTTTAACGTACGACGAGGACGAATAAATATACGAGTATTATTATTATTATTACTATGAGATGATGAAGATTTTTGAATAGGTGTTGATGAATTTGGTTGAATAAATTTTGTTTTAGGTGTTGATGTTATTTCAATAAATAATTCAAATTGATCTTGACTTTCATTTGGTAAAAGAAGACTAAGTATAATAAGATAAGATCATATCAACATTCTTAAAAGTATCTATTAATGACAATAACTTACGTTTTATTACTTTCAATTTCTTCTTCCATTATATGTATATCTAATGTATGCTTTTTTTGATTTTTCTATATGAGTAATATATCGATTGAACAGAAATAAAAAAAAATGCATATATAAAATGAATGAACACGATTGTTCTTCGTTTTCTTTCTCTCTCTCTCTCTTATGCATAATCATCTGCTCTTCACTCACTCACTTCATTGAAGCATGCCGATAATGTTTCACACTATCCTGCTGAGCCGTTTTAACGAGCTCATTTGTCGTCTATCGGCAGGACGTCACAGACATTTTGATTTTATTCTATATGATGTATATACAAGCCGCTCTCATTAGAAAATCATATATAATCCTATGAGCATAACAAATTGTATTAAATTACAATGATTTTTATTATTATTATTATTATTTACAATTAAATAACAAATGTTGTATCACGTGTATATGTTGATAATGGACGAATACGACATGATACTTGTGGTTTTTGTGTCCATAAATATCGATGAAATAGATCTTGTTTAATTCGATCAAGTTCAGTAGTTGTTTCTATTGTTTTGTTATGATGTCGTTGTTGAGAATGAGAACGTGAACGTGGAAGATTAAATACATGACGAAAATATTCTGGTCCAAGCATAACAAGATCAGATAGACGATAACCTTTTTGATGATCACGATAAGATCTATGTGTTTTACTTGATGATATAACATTATGAAAAAATGTTGGTAATGATAATGATGTTATATCATGTTCAAGAATTGGACATATTGATTCTTCACGTAAATTAGAAGGATGTTCAGAACGTATATCAGATTCAATAAGATTTGTTCTTGGTGTTGGTTGAATATTTATATGTTGATCAATTGTTTCTTCAGAAATATTATCTTCAAGAGAAAATTTTTGTTGAACAAGTTGATGACGCATACGTACAGCTGTTGTTGCTGCAAGAGCCGTTGCCGGTAATGATAAATTGTTGGGTAAAGCACTACGTATATTATTAATCTGTGGCAAAGAATTATGTTGATTAATTGAACTTCGTCGACGACTTGATCGAGCTGATTGACGTGCATTAATATATTGTTCTCTTAATGAAAGAATAGTATTTCGATTACTACCAGGTGGTATTTGTATAGCTTGTCCAAATTTAGGTACATAAACTGAATTTCTCTCATTAGGAAATTCCAAAATACAATCTTCAACACAATCTTCTAATGCTGATTTAAATACTTTTGAACATTTTCCATTAAAAACTAAAACTTTTATTGGTGTTTGATCATTTATTTGTTGATTTGTTGATGTAGATAAATCATTAACATCAATAATTGATGATTGACGTTTAACAAAACTATTAGATCGTGATGGAACATTAGTTCTTGGCATATCGGAGCTTGTTGAACTCGATGGACGTGTTGTCGAACTTGATTGATTATCAGATAAAACTGAGAAAACAAAAAAACATAAAAAATGTCTTTATTAATAATTCATCTATTTCGATAAAAATAAAAAAACAAAATCCAAATCAATGAAATAAATATTCAACACCTTTCTTTTTGTTTTTTAATAAATGATGACAGATCACTTTTGAAAACTGATTGATCGGTAAAGAGTTGTTGTTGTTTTTTTTTGCAAAAAAACAACGAAACTTTTGATCGATCAAATGATTTTAAAAAAAAAATGTTATTTACTATACTCAATATGCGTAAATTTAAAGCATATGTTTGATACAAACCTTCATTTTCGTTCAGTTCTTGATCCATTATTCTCGTCTGTCAAATGGTGAATACACTGTTGATTCCTTTTTTTTTTCTTCTTTTTGTAATCAAAAAAATAGTGTGTATGAAATTAACACAAAAAAAATAGTGTGTGAAATCAACACAAAAAGAAGGCTCATATATATATATAAATATATATTATTGTTTGAAGTCGTAGGCGACTACTATTATTTGAAATTGAAGCCAAACTAGTGCATGTGTAGCATATGAAAATAAGAAGAAACATAGTTTTCTTGTGTGTTTTTTTTTTCTATTTGATTTTGACGAAATATATTTGTTTGAAAAGTACTGAAATTTATTATTAGGATTATTTATTTTTAAACTTTTAGGTCTTTTCTTTTTCAGTAAATCGTTGCATGTACTAATAGAAAAAAAAAGATTCAAATCAAGATGAATTATTTAAGGTCCCAAGAGTATTTTATCAGCATCAGAGACGACACGTATTGAATAAATAAATGAGTTCGAAGTTACTAACATAGACAACAAGAATTATTAAGTATTCAAACGACAGAATGATTGATTGAATAATAACTTGATTGTCATCATATTGTTTCAATGTTCACCTGTCAAAAAAATCTCATTTATTTTTTTCTTCTTTGACGAAGAAAAAAAAATCTCTCAAATTCAGACAACAATTACATTGATTCTTTATTTATAATTATTCGTCGTTTTTTATTTTTTCATATTAAAAGCAGAAGAAAAGAATAAAAGTCAATTTTTAAAAACAACAATATTTAGTTGTTTTCACTTGTATACCATTTGAATTTGATTTTTCATTCCATGATGTTAAATAATGTATTGAAAAAAAATCATTTTGTATCCAAAATAATTTATTTAATGCTATAAATACTCCATATTTATTTTTATTATCAAGATTTTCAATTGTCCATAAAAAATATCTATAAGTATATGTTCAAGAAAACCAAATAATACACATATATGTATATAATCAACATTAATTGATGATGAACCAGCTTTATTTGTATGTATTTTTCCAATTCGTGATAAATTTTGAAGAAATGTATCATTCCATTCTATTTGTGTTAATATACGTTTTAAAATATATACTTAACATATCTTTTCTATATATCATTTATGCTGATTCTAATGTTAAATCTGTACTTTTTTTTGTTAAAGGATCTTCAAAACTATCATTACGTATAAGAAAATATTGTTTTATTATGTCGAATGAAAGTAATTTTCTATAAACAGTATCAACAATAACTGGAATATGTGACAGAATAATAATTGCAAATTTATTAAGCATTGCTATATCATTCGAAGTAAAATTAAGAAATTTTGATAAATAATCAAAACGATAACGAAAATTGCTGTTAATTTGATTAATGTCAATGTGTTCAGTCATGTTAACAGAAAGAAAAGTATTTTGTACTTTGCGTTTTATATATTATATGTTTGTTTACCTTTCAAGAGTTCTCTTTATGCTGGAAACGATCTTTCTTATTTGCTATTAAATTTAGAGAAAGAGAAAAACAAATGATAAACAACATATAATCTTGTTTATTCTGTGTAGAATTCTTTTTTTCATTTATATCAAAGTCACAAGCTATGTACTAGTCTGAATTTCCGCATGAAACATGTTGGCTCAATGTTCATGCAATGTATTGCGTAGGTCTTTTTTTTTTCTTAGTAGAAAAAGTGATACATCACAGCTTTTGATTTAATTTAAAAAAAAAAGCCCATTGCAACTATTTTTACTCAAAAATATGAAGTGTCTGACTGTTGGGAATTGTTAAAAAAAATGATTCAAGGTCGAGAAATTGATACGATAAACAAAAAGAAAATCATTCACAGTAAAACTTCTTTTAACTAGATTAATATAAGAAAATAATGTTTAATGAAAGCATTAAATTAATCTAATGTCAGATTCAATTGTTTTCTATTTTCATGACAATACATAATGATGTAAATCACTTGTCCTCTGAATACTATAACGAGTTATTTCATGAGAATATATATGATGAATTGAAATTATTTTGGATAAAAAAAAATGATTTATAAAATAATTACGTGAAAATTATTTTATAACAAAAAACAAATAAATCAATGAAAAAAAAAAGACAAGGTAACCAACTTTGTTTTTACATTGAAATTACTACTCAAAAGTCATTTCACCGAAGGGACAAAAGAAATTGAAAATCTCCTGCGCTATATTTTGATAAAATGGACTGATATTTTTGTTTTTTGCTCGTAATAAAGGAATGTTCGAGGTTATATTCATAAGTAAAGCATTGACAAACAAATATGAGCGTTAACTTCAATAGAAAAAAACATGGTAACTTTTGACTCGTAGTCAAAAATACAATATATATGGACATGATCAACCATCCTGATATCACAACAGTTATTAATGTATGTAGTTTCCAACGGATATTAGAGAAATGAGATGTATGTCAACAAATTAGATATGAAATACATTGAACAAAATGATTATAAGAAAACACTTGACAACTATCGTTTCTAGTGAGATATAGAACTCAATAATAACACATCATTAGCATTATATATGCACTAAATCTAGTTACAAAAATCTCATTTTTCTAATATCTGGTTAAAGCTACACGCATAGATAAGTATTAAGGTGTCAGGGTAGTTGATCACGCCCATATATGTATTAAAACTTCAGTGCAGTCATTTATGATGGATATTTTATTAAATCATTATCAATTGAAAAATGTTTATCAAATAAAATAGTACACACTGGTACCAATATTCATTAAAGCATTGGAAGGATGTGAATGTACGAATATTTCTCTAATCACATTCTACCCTAGTTTTTAGGCTCCAGAAAACTTTGTTGGAATCATTTTAAAGAGCACAAAATTGTGAATAAAATGAGAGGTCGCTGCATTTTCTACGATCTCCTCTTAAAAAGTGAAGGCTATCACAAAAATCGTAAAAAAAAAAGAAAATTTATCACAGACTTGACTGAAAAATGCTTTTTTTCGATTTTTGGGTTACTGATTACTTTTTAAGGAAAGGTCGTAAAACATGCAGCGATCTCTTATTTTATACAGAATTTTGTGCTCTTTATAATGGCTTTGACAAACTCTTTTGACATCTGAAAAATATCATGTCCAGTTTCTTTAGAAACCTTCATATCGTAATCCAACTATGAAATCTTGAAATTAGCAACAATGACATTCAAAATAAAATATACATTATATTGTTCAAATATATATTCGTGAAAAATTACAGAGACCATTGCTTAGTTTTATTTCTCGTTTTTTAATTTAAAATAAAATATCGAATATATCGATCTTTTCTGATCTTGAATATCGGTCATCATCAGTGTCTTACTGAATAATAAATCAATCACCTAAGAAAACCAATACTTAATATCGTAAACTAATAAACCACATTGTTTAAGTTCTCTCACCTCTCAAAAAATCGATCTTGGACTGGATACATTCAAATCCCATGACATTTTCAGTCCTATACCATGACGTTTTCGGAAAATATTTAACAAACAAGAGTTAAAAATAGCTCTTTTGGCAACCCATAATTCTCTTTGGATCTTCATTCTATATATTTGTTTTACTTTTTAAGTGGAGAAATAGGATGAAAAGTTCAATATGTCGAAATACGCTCAAAAGTAACGCTCGAGTTACAAAAGTATTCGTTTTTTCTTTAATAATAGTAACAAAGTTTAATTCGAGAAAGAGATTATGTCATGCTCAGGATTTTGACGTGCTCTTTCAAACAAAAAAATAAATTAAATATATAAAATCGAGAACTACAGAGAACTATGGTATCAAATGATAACAAAAATTATCGAAAAATTTTTGCAAAAAGAAAACGAAGTATCGAATAACAAAGTTTGGCATCGGGCTATCCTCCTATGCATATAATTCTGACAAAGAAATTATTTTTTTAAGACAGGGTCAGAGAGCTTAAAAAGTAATAAGAAACAATAGAAACTTCGATCATTCTTCAGTGATCAACTTTCTTGTTCTCAAAAGCAATATCTTATCTAATATTTATATAGTCTTCGAATAGAATCGAGTTTCTAAAAAACAAAAAAAAGGATTTCTGATGTGTACTCATCACATGCTCACGAATTCGACAATTTTTTTCTCATTTCAAAATAATGATTAGGTGTGGAGAACGAATAACAGATAGTCAGAGAGAATGTAGAAAACATCCGAATGTCACAATGGTCGATGTGACTAGAGCTCTTCTTGACTAATGAAACGATTCATTATGTTTCATATGTTAATCCCCTAGAAATAGTGCTCAAAAGTTTAATACTAGTCTCGATCCGTATATAATTCAGAAAATTCCATGTAATAATGTCTTTTATTATACAGAACGAGTTTATTAAATAAAAATGAGTAAAAAAAAAGAGTTCGAAACAAAAGACAAACAAGTTGTTTTGTTTTCTTTTTGTTTATAAGTATTCTTTTTTAAAAGTTATACTGATAAATTTAAACATAATAATTTAGTTATGTTAGTGTCAAATAAGAAAATATATTGACAATAGTTTTCAATTAAAATCTGAATAAAATTTACAATTTTTTTATTAGAAAATATCAATTCGATTGTTCATATTTGATTTGTTATAAACTAAAAATAAATTAAAAATAATTTGTAACTTAATTTATGAAAAAATATATTTGCTCTTTTCATAATGTTTTTATATCGTTGATTTTTACTTCTTTTTTTAGTTACTATTGATATTCGAGATCTTTTCTTTGTTGTGTTAAGAACTTTTGTTAACATTTTTCTATTATTCTAATAGTAACGTCTTAGAGGAAAAGAACGATCTAATTCTTGTTTGGAATCCAACAGTGTTTTTTTCTTGTAGGTCATTCTGCCCTACAACATTATTCAATGGAAAAAATCTGTCTAGTGTTCCTATTAACTTTTGTAATTAGATAGTATTCGCTAGAAAAAAAAATCCCCTTTCTTTTTCCATACATTTATATTGTCGAAAAATCATAGTGTTCAATGAACAATAGACTCTCGTCTCATTATTGCATGACTAAGTTAATAAAATAATAAATATCATATGAAGAAAAAAGAATAATTTCTTTTATTTAAGAGAAATGAAGGGAACAAATGCCATCGTACATATATATATATATATATATATATTAAAATTAATTTTGAATATTAGTTAAATAATCAAGAAGCATTTGGTTTAGCTTTTGTTGTATCAGTAGAAAATGATTTTTCTCTTGTTGACATTCCATAATGCATTGTAAATATATCATTTTGAATCCAAAAGAATTTATTAATTGCCATAATCATATCATGTTTTGTTTTATCATCAAGATTTTCAGTTGTCCATAATATATCTATGAATAAATGTTCCATATAACCAAATAGAATATTTATATGTATATAATCAACTTTAATTAATGTTGTACCAATATTATTTGCATGTATTTGACCAATTTGTGATAAATATTGAAGAAATGTATCATTCCATTCTGTTTGTGTTAATATACGTTTTAAATATATACTTAACATATCTTTTCTATATATCATTTGTGGTGAATCTAATGTTAAATTTTTACTTTCTTTTATTAAAGGACCTTCAAAACCATCATTACGTATAAGAAAATATTGTTTTGTTATGTCAAATGAAAGTAATTTTCTATAAGCAGTATCAACAATAACTGGAATGCGTGGTAGAATAATAATTGCGAATTTATTAAGCATTGCTATGTCATCCGAAGTAAAATTAAGAAATTTTGATAAATAATCAAAACGATAACGAAGATCATTATAAATTCGATTATTATCGATGTGTTCAGTCATGACGATGCGATATATATGCGAACACTATTATATCATTTTCTCTTTTTTTTCTGTTCCTTTTTTTTGTAAGCTGTAGCAAAAAGTTCTCTAGTTGACAATGATGATCCCATTCGTCGTCTAGATATTCTTTGTTCTTTATTTTCTTTTTCTTCATAACATGTATTAATAAAGAAGTATCAAATCTGTTAGTCTTGCTTGTTTCAATTATAATAATAGAGAAAACTATAGATTACTTTATTTATAGAAAATAATATAACAAACTATCATTCTTAAAAATTGACTCATTAATGACGCAATTGATAGTCATTTTCAAAGGAAATCTTTAGATTCATTGTAAACAACAAATGAAATTAATTTTCTTTTAAATACTTATATAATGACAAGTGAATGTCATTTGCATCTATCTCTCTAAAAATACGTCAACCTTGAGATATGACACATAAAGTTTAATTTTGTTTTTTTGGCCTTGGATTAAGAATAATTTTAATTTTCTTTATTCAAATAAAAATAGAGTCTCATCAATGTTTGAAGTATTTGTTGATTATTAACGCATGGTATCATTACTTAAACTAAGTATATTTGCTTTTTTTTTTGTTTATATAAAATATTGATGATTAAAATGGAACTAATGTAAAGGATATAATCAAACTAAAAGATAGTCAACCTCAATTAAGATGCCATTGAATAATATTTTATAAAACAGTTAGATCATAAAGGAACAATCAACGATAACATTTGTACCTTATGTTGAAGAAAAGGATCTACAAATTAATCATCAAAATTTATCTTATTCTACAAAAAAAAACCATAGCTTTAAATACAGAAAATAATCAATCGTTGAGCAAAACCAAATTATAAATGCTGCATTGAATGCTAATAATATCAAATTGAATTATCGCTTAAGTAAGAAAATCATACTGTTACATTTTATGATTTTCTTACAAGACAAAATGTTGACACACAAAGAAATTATATGAAAGAAATCCCTATATTATCTTTTAAGATGATAGATTTTGTCATGATGAAATTCATTAAATTCAAAATTAAGCAGCATTATCTTATATTTTAATTGATAGGCATGAGAAAATATAGAATTTATCTTGTGATGATCTTATGAGAAAATTTCGATATTAATTTATATTTTACATAGAAAAATTTTATGTACAAAAATTTATTTTTGATTGTTGAATTAACTATAATGAAAGTATTATTTATACTTCGACAAATCAAATATGAATTACTGCCACAATAATTTTAGTATATTTTAAAAATCAATTTATTTCATAACTCATCGTTTCCTACGAATAAGTGTAGAAAAAAGAAAATATTCTATAAAGTATTTGACATATCTAGGGAAATGATGTCTCGTGCTTTTAATACTACGTATAGTTTAATGTAGCAGAATCGCTTTCCTGAATTCGTTAACTTTGTCAGCTACATCCGTTTGATAAAACTTTGAAAAATAAAACTAATGATGTTCATCCGTTATAATATTTTCTGATTAATATTCATTAGTAACTTGCAAATTATTATTCTAATCGAATGAAATTTTTATTCTACATAGAACTTTTGTGTTTACGAGCTAATCATCTGTATATGTAATAAGAACTTATGTAGGTTTTTTTCTAATTGTATATCACATTGTTTATTAGAAGGAAATTTCGAATGAGCAGAACGATTATATAAAAACATTTGTAGCCATTGTTATCTCTTGTAATCTTTGAACTTTTAACATAAATAACATAGAAATCCGATATTTTCCTTTCATCTTTTCTTGACATTTCTATTTGATGTATTATTTGAGAAGCAACAAAGTTTTCTTTTTTTTTTTGTCTTTGCAATAAATAAATTATAATGTAACTGATAAATATGTTCTCGATAACTTAATATAACTAATACTAAATTTTAGTCTCGAGATACAAAAACAACAAACGAAACAAAATAAATTCATTATTTTGGTATGTTTATATTTTAACATATATTTTACACAAGTCTAAGTCAGTTCAATATGAATTAAATAATTGCATTAGCATAAACAGAATATATAGTGTCACAAAAGTCTGCTATGAAAAACAAAACGTGAATATCTTTTTCAATACTATTATAGCATATTCCTGGGCTTTTACTCTATATATTCACTGACAAGTTTCTGTGTACACACAGATATTACAATACTAATAGTTTTATTAATGATTAGATTTAAGTCATTTACTATTGTGAAACAAATCAAACTAAGTCAAATTTGATATACAAACCCATGTGATCAAAATCCCTGATTTTTCGGCGATTAAGCCACTTAAAAAAGCGATTTTTTCCTGTTTTTATTTCTAACTTTTAGAGAAAATCGTGATTCCTCGTGCAACATTTACGATGATTGGACGTAGTCGTAATGCTTGGCTCTAGGACTATGACAGTGTCTCGACGGGTGTACAACTATTTTTTATCATCGTACTCATAAAAGTTTCTCATGAATAAGGAGAGCGATGATTTTGTTCACCGCCATGTGCTATAAACAATTAAAAATAATGTTTTTTCTTTATATAATAATACTTAGTGTTCATTTTCGTTTTGAGATGGATTTAAGTAAAAAAAAAACAAATTTTATCTAAATAAATATGTACTGTTCATGTTGCTGTTGAGAATAATTTGAATAAAAGAAAAAAGAATTATAAATAAATACTTACTGTTGAAGTTTGTTACAAAATCGCTGATTAATCGCATCTGCCCAAATGATCACCGATTAATGATGATTTATCAAAATATCCGAAAAAACGTTGATCAATGGCCAGAGTCGATCATTCCAACCGTCGGAAATGACGTCTTACTCGGGCTGAAACGGCTTAATTCGTGCCATAAATGGTGAAAAACTAGCGCTGTTTTCCACCCTTTGTAGGATCGCAATCCGTCATACCAGATTACAGGACGTGTTTCACCTAAACGAAAACCACGCCGTTGTATGCCGCCTTCACTGAATAATAATGAGCCATATTGACACCGTTTTCCTGTCATATACGGCTCATTTTCATTATTCGAATTGCATGCTAGATAGCATCCTGCTTATACTTTCATTTATTATATGAAGCATTTCTGCAAACGAATTTATCTTCACACGCTGCATTCACAGTAGACATATGAAAACGGGTGCACACGTACCCAAAAATCATACTTACTGTGCATAAATGTACCATTAAACAGTTTTTGAGATGAAGTAGTTCACTGATTAGAAAAAACTATACTTTCAAGGACATATTTTTTGACAAGTAACTGACTGGTTTTCTTTTCGCCGTTTTTAGGCATTCATGAACTGTTGTTTCGATAGGCAGTGAGCAATATCATTGAAACTTTGGATAAGCTTCTTACTAGGCATTGAGAAGACAAAAGAATAGAGTCTATGATCTATAGAACTTACCTATTAAAATAACGACGAATGAGGAATATGTGAAGATGTGTACGTTCATTCGATAATTCAATATTCATATCATATCAATGATCGTGTGACAAGGCATAGAGACATTTGTTGTTGAGTGCACACAATATTGTTGAGTAGATATCAACAAAATCTATCGATAAGTGCTTTAACCAGCTCAAAAAAGTCACTTGGGACCTACTATTAGCAAAACAAAAAAACAAAATATAAGAAAACAAAAGAGTAATGTGCATTTCAATCTCAGAAAAAAAACTTCCATGAAAAATTAGAAATTGGTCCAACTAGAAATGATACGTAAGATTATTAAGGTGTATCTAGTAAACATAATTAGAAAATATCTAATAATGTTTATGAGATACTTTTTTTGACTGAGGGTGAAAACGACTTAAAAATGGTGCAAAACCTGTGGTCGGAACAATAGTCCTTTCTACTGGGCCGTAAACAAGGGTTGTAAAGGATGTCGTTTATAACACAATTTCTCAGCTTGTGATTACATCGTAAACGATCATCGAAACAGAAGCCATTTTTCATCCTTATACTTTGAGAAAAGCACTTGGTACTTATACTGATATTTCGAGGCAAATACTTTCGTACTTACATTTTAGTGCAAAAATTTGAACTTCATACTTTTACTTAGAATACGAAACAGTGTCTTTGTTTTTATTTGAATTTTTTTTCTTTTTTGTTTGAAATTTTTACAGTTATTCATGGCGCTAGAATGATAAGTAAGTTTCAACTCTTCACGTTAGTCCTAAGCCAAACTGATGCATCTCTCTTGTGAAAGTTTCAAGCTTAGCCTTATAATCTGCTTTTTATTCTAATTGTATCAAAGCAGATTTTCATCCTCAACGTATTGAATATATTAAATTATTACTCACATATCAAAATAGACCTAATAAATTGCATATATTTTAAGTTTAATATTCTTAGGAAGGATTAATAGTTTTAATCCTATTTTCAAAGTGGTCTAAAATATGTTCAAGAAATTTTTCATCAAAATTCCATATTAAAATCCCTCTAGTCAATATTCAAAAAACTCATATAGATGATTCGAAAATGCAGCGAAGCAATGCTCTGTCCGTACTTGTAGAGCATTGATTTAAATTCATATAGATTCTTCTGAAGGTCATTGAGAATTTTATTTATGATAGTGATTGGGATGAGTATCTCGCAGTGACTTCATCAACGTATAAAAGAAAAAAAATTGCATTAACATATTCTTATTTTCATTTAATGTTTGGTCAGATAATGTCACAGTGGTCTTGAAAACTTTATGAGAGGTAGCCAACATTACAGACGACATACAGTGTATTTATATACCAAGTAAAAATACTAAGAAATGACTTTTGTCGTATTTTAATACAAGTACATTTTTTAAAGTACAAGTAAAATACTTTTATCTGTTGTACTTGTCCTAGCTCTGATCTAGGAAGTCTTTAGAATTATTCATATAGTTATACAAGTAGATACTCGTATCCAAAACAAAGTAGGCATATACATTTATATTGAAATGAATAATTCTAAAGATTCCCTAGCCCTGCATCCAAAAAAGGGTCTATATAACTACATAGAA